AACCGAGGTACAAAGCCGATTGGTTGTGAAGGGATTCAATCAGAGAAAGGGCGTAGACTTTGATGAGATATTCTCTCCTGTTGTAAAGATGTCTTCAATCCGAGTTGTGCTTTGGATAGCAGCCAGCTTGAATCTTGAGATTGAACAGCTTGATGTGAAGACAGCCTTCCTGCATGGTGATTTGGAAGAAGAGATTTACATGGAGCAACCAGATGGGTTTCAGGAGAAGGGGAAAGATAAGCTTGTATGTCGTCTCAACAAAAGCTTGTATGGGTTGAAGCAAGCTCCGAGGCAATGGTACAAGAAGTTTGATGCCTTTATGATTAGGCAGGGATACCAAAGGACTACAGTTGATCACTGTGTATTTGTGAAGAAATTCTCTGATGGTGATTTTATAATTCTTTTGCTTTATGTCGATGACATGTTGATTGTTGGTCATGATACTACAAAGATTGCCAGATTGAAAAAGGAGTTGAATAAATCCTTTGCGATGAAGGATTTGGGTCTGGCTAGACAGATCCTTGGGATGAAGATTTCTCGTGACAGACAGAATGGGAAGCTTTGGGTATCTCAAGAGAATTATATCGAGAAGGTTCTTGATAGATTTAGCATGAGCGGTGCTAAGGAAGTCTCGACTCCACTTGTAGGGCATTTTAAGCTAAGCAAAATGCAGTGTCCTAAAAGTGAGAAAGATAAGGAAGAGATGAAAAAGGTTCCTTATGCTTCGGCAGTTGGCAGCCTGATGTATGCGATGGTTTGCACAAGGCCAAACATAGCTCATGCAGTTGGTGTTGTTAGTCGGTTTCTCTCCAATCCTGGTAAGGAGCATTGGAATGCTGTGAAATGAATTCTCAGGTATCTTAGGGGTACTTCCAAATTGAGTCTTTGCTTTGGCAATGGGAAGACCATGTTAGATGGATATACAGATGCTGACATGGCGGGTGACCTGGATGGTCGGAAGTCTACTTCTGGTTACTTGATGACTTATGGAAGGCGAGCAGTTTCATGGCAAAGTAGGTTGCAGAAATGTGTTGCTTTGTCTACTACAGAGGCAGAGTTTATCGCAGCTATTGAATCTTGTAAGGAAGCATTTTGGTTGCAGAAGTTTCTACAAGAGCTTGGCATGAAGCGAAGAGGTATGTGTTGTATTGTGATAGCCAGAGCGCTATTCACTTAGCGAAAAATTCCACATTTCATTCGCGGTCAAAACATATTCATGTGAGATATCATTGGATTCGAGATGTACTAGAGTCCAAGGCGTTGTTTCTTAAAAAGATTCATATAGATCACAAAGGTGTCGATATGTTGACGAAGACTGTGAGTAGAGACAAGCTCTTGTTTTGCATACAGGAAGCGGGTTTGGTTTTACCCCCCAATTGAGGTGAAGGGGGAAATTGTTGGCCCGGTATTCCCCTCAATTGGGTCAACAAGGAAACAAATAAAACCAAGCCAAATTGGGTTTGGTTTTAGGAAACAAAACCCATGGCATAATTTTTTAGGTGTGTTTTCAGCCAAGAAGAGAAGAAAAGTTTGGGCAGCCGTGCATTGTTTCTGTACGAGAGAAAAAGAAAGAAAGCTAGGGTTTAGTTTTCGGTTTAACTCTCTTTTGGTTAGATCTTTCCAATCGTACTTTGTGGTTTAGGTGTATTTTGGAAGAGTATTGTTGTAATCCACCTTTGGGTGAAGTCTTGTGTATCACCGGTTGGTGAAGACTGTTCCCAATTATTGTGATAGTGGAGATTTGACTGTTGTTACAGTCCCGTGGTTTTTTCCGATTTGGGTTTTCACGTAAATTTGTGTGTCTACTTTACTTTATCAGTTCTTGAATTAGTTGCTTGTTTGGTTGGTTGTCCTATTTTATTGGTAGTAGGAAATGAGTTTTTCCTGAGGTTCGCTTCTGTAGTTTGTTGTGTTTATACCATTTCCGCCACAACATAAAACCCATATAGCACATTCCAAATCCTAATCAATAGTTTTAATCATTATAAATACTTCAATGTGCATCAGTTTAACTTTTAAGTGCAGGGTACATAATCCCTAAATCATCTCCATATCAAAATGAAATAAATGTCTTCCTAAAGCAAAGAATTTGCAGAAAACAAACAGAATTGTCCCAACGCTCCTACCTTTAATGCCTAGAGTTCATCCCTCTCTCTCGGCCCTTCTCCTCCACCTTCCTCGCTTCATCTTCCATACTTCCTAACTCCACTGCCATTCTTAACTAGCTTGGGGTGGAATTTGATTATGAGAGAGAGTGAGAGAAAATTGAGATGGCATGCCAAGCAGATTTGATTGGATTCGGGTGGAAGAAATTTTGGAATTTAGAAAAGAAAATGAGTGAATGTGTGGGTTTACGTGAGAGAATGAGAGAAAAACAGAGAGGGGGGTTTTTTTTTTTTTTTGCTATATTTTCTTTGCTGATGAATATATGTGAGACTTGTCAACAAGGGAGACATTGTGTGTGTTGTGTTGTCATTCGGAGGGAGCAGTAAAAATTATGAGGTAGTTTTGCCAATTTTCTTTTCCTTAATAGACTACTTAGTTTAAGATTTAGTCAATTAGCCACACATATTTCTTACTTTCTACACCTTAATAAATCTATTTCTTAAAACATAGTTTATATTTAATTTCAACTATTCCATTTGTATATTGTTTATCATCAAAAGGTCACTGTTATGTTTAGTTCTTAATTAAGAGCATATGTGACTAAAAGACACTGATTGATCGTAACTAACTAATCCAGCCTGGCTTTACATTTATCACCTTCCTCCATTCAAGTCCATTTGTAGTCTTCTTTTGCTTACCTTATTTATTTTGGACCAACTGCTCTAGCTCTTTCTTTCTACATACCTCTTCTCCGTGGTCAGAGTTCTTACAGCTACCACATAAGGTAGGCCTCCAATCATAGAATACAGGCTGCTCACACTTCCTTTCTCATCCGCAAAGTGTGCAATGAATGGTGGTTTCTCTTGAATTTCTACGTCTACAAGTATCCTTACAAATGTACCTCGATCTTTACCTACTGTAAGCTCATCTGTTGTTGTTGGTCTCCCCAACGTGCTTGCAATCCTGCTTAGTATTGTTGGATTTCAGTACTTCAAATCCAATCTAAGTAGATGGATCCAGAATGGAACATTCTTAATATCCTTATGGTTGATCCTTTTCTCCACTTTCCATGGTTTAATGATGACTGGATTTGCACCAAAATAATTGATTGGCTCAGTTAACGCTTCTTCTGTTGTTGCCATTGTGTGAAACCTAATAACATATAGGTCGTTGGGCAGAAGTAACACCTTATCCACCCCCAGGTTCCTCTAAATCCTCCTATAATAAGCTTCCATAACTTTATAAGGTGGGTTTGTATCAAGCACAAAACTAATTACCAAAGATTTCCAGTAATCCATCTCTGGTACGATGTCCTTGTCTTGCACCATGGCCACCTTCTCCCCCTCCTGCTCATCTGGCACTACATATTCAAGCGAAACTCCTCTTTTTCTCAATATTTTGACATCAAAAGTAGCCCATGACGATTCCATTCCCTTTTTGTCTCTCTGGAGATAAATCGAGTTTTCGTGCCGTATTCACCCCTAATAACTCACTCAATTTCTTTGCTTTTTGTTGCAAGCTCAAACCCATACCCGAATCACAAAAATCTTGCTCTTCTTAAGCAGAGATTAGATCTTTTATCACCCTAGACGAACTCGCCCTATTCCTTAGATTAATTTGTCTTCCTTCATATCTAAGCAGAATCTTTGGAGTATTCTCTTGTTTTTTCTCTTCGACATCTTTTGGCTTCTCAATGTGCACTTTGCTCACCTTCATTTTCCCCTTTGCCATGGCGGGCGTACGATAGCCGACAAGAAGTCAACGAGAAGAAGATGTCTAATTATTCACTATTACCAAAATTAATCATGATTCACATTCATTTTTTGATTCTGCTATACAACTAAATTTATCTGGGACTGTCATATTTGGTTAATTAATGTAAACGTAACAAAGTTAATAATTAATTTTTATTATACAATCTGACTGAAATTCTAATTGCACGCCATGTATGGAAAAATCATTATGTATTAATATATATATATATATATAATACTCTCTAGTCAATTGAAAAATAATCCAATATTTTGAACTAAACAATATGCGAAAATGATTTGTTTTAGTCTGAGAAAGTAATATTGTGTACATCCTTGACGTTATATGTACTGTTTTTCATTTTATTTTCACATTTAATGTTTTTTTTCTTTCTATCTATACCCCTCTTAAACATAGAAACTGTTTTTTCTCCCCCTTAATATATACATGTATTTTTCAGTCTAACCTTTACATTGTATTTTTCAGTCTAACCTTTATATGTAAAAGTTTAACTTCATTTCTCGTTTATTTTTTCATTTCATGTCTCCATTTGAATTAGTGAAACTGTGAAAGATTTATCGTTATCTAAGTTACGTAATGGAATTTGACGGGTTTATGATCATATCTTGAATTTCTATGTATGTATATAGTAGTTACAATGTAGACTTATTTTTTCTATATCTTTTTGTATTCATCTTCTTTTTTTTTTTAGATTTGTTTATATATGGTGTAAGTAATCAAGGCTGGAAGGGGTGGGTGAGGTGGTTAGGAAGTTAGGATGTGGAATGGTTATTATCACGAGTTTGATGGTTCGATTCTTGTTGGGACATTTAACTTTAAAAAGTAAAAAAAATGTGTAAATAATCATAGGGTTAATATACTTTTCTTAATAGTAATTCGATAAGCCACTCGGACTGGGTCATTTGGAAATTGTATTTTGATATTTTTTTATTACTTATTTTAATACAATTGCTGATTTTCTAAACAGTAACTTAAGAATAGAATGTGTAACCAATTCCACCCTTCAAAGTTACCTATTCTAAAAACTTGGAAGGTCAATTTGTTGACCTTCAAATTCAATTGGTCCAAAATTACTAATAACAATACTTTAGAGACCTCGTTTGGTAACTTGCCTCTTCTCAAAATTTGCCTCTTCTGCTTCTTAGTTCATCTGCAAAAATTACAACAATCTTGAAATTTTCTTCTAATGGCATCTCTCTTTTAAATAGCGATCCCATGCCAAGTTTCTCTATTCTCAACAGAAACTCCGAAACCCCTCAATGCCCAGATATGAGAAAGGATTGAAAACTTTGTTTCTTGTGGTTGTTTGTTGCATAGAAGTTGTAGCTGTAGTTCAATTGGAAGCAGTAACTAAAGATGGTGGTGGCATCTGGGAGTAATCCTTTTGCCAAGGAGATGGCCGTGAGAAGACGTATTGGCAACATGTATGTTTATGTAATGATTTCTTTCGACATTCTTTAAACTAAGTTCTTCCGTCTATGGGGTTGATTTTCTTTTACGCATGGATTATATTTAGGGCTTGTTGTATAGTAACTTCGTAGATATATTTACTGGCTTGGCATTTAATTTTCTTTCAATTTTCAATTGTTCTTGTGGATGTAGAGTATGAAAAGGATGGATTGAAACTTGACTTGGTTTCGTTAACATGTATTTTTGCTCAATAGAGTGAGATAGTAGAATCATTGTGATTTACTAGTTCATCAAACTTCGAAAGGGAACCCACAAAAGTGGGTCTTTCTATTTTTCTTCTCTGTTTTTTTGCTTTATGTTTGGTTGGGTTTTCATCTAGGTTCCAATAAGTTGGGTTAAAGGTTTTGGCCTATGAAATTGATTGCCATTGGCATGTTTTTGCCCTTTTTGCCTGGAATATGAGTCAATCGTCAGTCGTCAGTTCATCACTGCATTACTGCATCTTACAAATGTAATGGGGCTGATATAGAACTTTAAAGAGATGAGGAATATTCATGTATTGGCTTCTTGTTTAAGAGGATCTGTAGAGTTCAGCATTATCTAAGATAGTGATAATTCAGGACATTAATCAACCATATGGGTTGATGATTCTGGTTTGATCCTGGAATTGTAGTATGGTCACGATGATTAACAGAAGAATAAAGCAAACAGAGTAGCTGATAACAGTAGAAGAAAGTGTGGTCCTGAGCAATTTGTATGACTTTTGTTGCCTTTCGGCATTCCATTTGCAGCCTCAGTAATTGCTTCATTGGCATTACTTCTGTATATATGTCATTTTCTTTGTCCTGATGTTCCATGTTTACAATTTTTACTGGCTCAGATTCAATAAAAGAGAAGAAGACTTTCCTTCGTTGAAGGATTATAATGATTATTTGGAAGAAGTGGAGGATATGAGTAAGTTCAATTCCAATGGCCTTGTAAATATGGAGTAGTCCTATCATTTTGGGATATAACAGGTTGTGTCTGTCTCATTGACATATTTGCTACCTTGGTTTTTCAATCCCTGGCAGTTGAAAATATACTTGAAGGAAACGATCTTCCTGCTATTGAAGCAAAGATTGCCGAGTATCAAAGAGAAAATGCGGAACAAATTATGATTGCTCAAGCACGCAAGGTTGGTACATTTCTTTAGGTATATGTTTTAACTGGTTAGTGATTTGTAATCTAACTTCTGTGCCTCTCCTTACGGGTTAGGCCGAAGAAGATGCTGCTCTTCTTGCAGCAAGCAGGGGACAGATTGCCCAAACCGACAATGATACGGTAAGTTTCTTGCCTTTGCTAATATCCATTTATAAAAACTTTTTCATACTATCTGATTGCCATAAGCGATAGCACATGAATTTGAATGCAAATATTCTTTGTTCCCTGAATCTTGGGCTTTTGGGATTGTATAACTCTTCTGGCGAACTATGTATTACTGATGGGTTCCTGTCAAGATACTGGCTTACTAATCTTTCTTTTGCATCTCAAATATGAATAATAGCCTTCACTTTTCAGTCTTGAATTGTGTGCTATCACTGATAAGAGATGCCATACATATCTTGAAGTCTTCTTACAGTTGATTTCTCTCTTGTCTTGTTTGGGTTGGGATTTGGGGGTTGCGGGGGAAGTTTTTCAAGTGATTCACATGTACATCAATCTCTTTTTACCTAACTAAAGGTAGGAACAGTATGTAGTTTTTGGTTTTAAAGAAAATGACTGACTTGAAATGTAAGTTAAATAGTAGTGCTTTTGAAATGAGTTCTCTATGATTGAGATACCTCATAGTTTCATAGGGTAGAGGAAACAATTCGCAATTTTAGAGTGTGAACTAACTAATCTTCCACAGGATGCTCTTCTTCATTTGAGTTTTTATTTCTGATGAATATGAAGCTATGTCAAACTTTAATGAGGGAATGGTTTATGTACAATAGCAGTACTTACCTCCTCAGTTTGAAGCTTAGATTTTGTTTTGTGGTCATGACATGCCTGTTCTGAACTTTGATTTTCACCCTTTTGTGGTAAAGCTATAACTTTTGAGATGTCTCTCTCAAAGATTGCAGCGTAACCCTTACCATTTAGCAAGCTTAATTGGTAAAAGTTGGTTCCCAGAAGGGAGTTTTATGCTTGTCAACAGGACTAAAGAAAAAAAAAACAATGTTAATTGTAGACAATTTGAAATGCAAATCTTTTCTTTGATTTTTTCATTATCTCTTAGTCCGTTGAATATGTGTTGTCACTGCTTTCTTTTTTATCCTTCATTTCAGAATGATCTCATTTTTATTTTTTATTTTTAAATTTTTGGCTAATAATGCACAAAATGTGAAATTCTAAAATTCTATAGTTTGGTGACTTCTGATCAAAAGGCAATATACTTTTAGATGTAATGTGGACTTCAACTTATGTTAGAATATTTGCTTAACAGCATAAATTACTTGTTTTATACATCCAAGGGTCAATTATTGTTACTAAATGCAAGAAGCAGTGAGTTTCCTATTACCCTTTTAATGGTGCTTACCTCTGAAATCTTAAGTTAATTGCTTAATAGTTAAATTTCTTTATGTTTGATCTTTATACGTTTATTTTCATTTTCATGTAATAAAGTGCTCAAAAAAAAAAAGTGAAATTTGAATGCCGCATCCAGTGTGTTTTCCAGTCTTCTCTTTTCTGATGAATTAAGACATAATTCAGGCATTTTTATACATTTGTTTTCATCTCTATTCAGGCATCTTTATGTTTGGTGATTACTGCGAAATTGACTTTATAAATTGCATTACCTCTTCGAATTAATATGTATCCATTACTGAATGCTGTGCAAATCGTCTAGTGTTGAGAGGTTCAACTATAATCATAAATTCTTTTCCTGTGTTATTTTGGTCTCACGCCATCCAATAAAATTTATGAAAGGAATTGACTATTTTCCTTTGATTTTAGCTTAGTCCGGCACTCAGTTTAAGTTAACTAATTCTTGTCTTTGATAAGTGAGAGTGTGTGATTGATTAGTATCATGCTGTTCTCTTGCTTTTCTGTTTGGATGTTTCTGTTGGCCAACGTTACTTATTTTTGCCTTGGATTCGCATTTGATTGTTTCTCTTTCCACTTAAGTCTTCTGTGCTGGGAATCGCTGGGTAAAACTACTTACGTAAATCACATTTCTTGTTGTGTCCTGTGAATTAATCTGGGGGAAAGGAGAAAGTTCTCCAAGTTGGTGTCTGACTTTGATTTACGCAACTGGGTGCTTTTTTTTCAACTGAAACCATTGCAATTTTTTGGGAATCTAAATGATCTCTTATTTCGATGGCCATTTATTTCCATTCTGATAAGCCTCTGCTTTTAGTGTTTAGTGCTTACATGTACACTGTGCTTTGGCTGTCTTATTCAAGATGATGAAACCAATAAATTGAACCAGAGAAGTTGGTATACTAGATCTGGAAACGATGCTTGTACTTGTCACTCTTTGCTGTTATTTCTCTTTTCTTTGTCTATATAGTTCATGAACCATTTGCTTTGCTCCTTCTTGCTGCTGGCTGATATGTTGTTTCTCGAAGTTAAAATCTTTATAGCTTTGCTTGCTACACATATTTGACTACTTCTGGCTACAATGATACAGGTAACTAACCAAAGCTCACAAGTAGGCACAACTACAGGACAATATGCTCCTGCTATTGCTGGTGGACTGATTGGGCAACCGCGTCCAACAGGCATGGCTCCCCAACCCGTTCCTCTTGGATCTGGTCATGACATTTCCATGTATGACTATGAAGATGAAGAGAAAATGAGACAACGAGCAGGAAAAGCAGCTAGGGCTGGTGGATGGAGTATAGAGTTCAGCAAGAAAAGAGCTCTTGAGGAAGCCTTTGGTAGTATTTGCTTATGATCTTTCAGTCTTTAGCTTTTTAGTGAGCAAGCACAATTTTGTCAACCTTATGTAATATTAAAAGAAGGCAAATATTGAAGCAATAGATGCAGGTGAAACCTTAAGTTTTGTAAAAGCCCCAATTATTGTGTTTCTTCTGACAACACAGAAAAGAAGTTGTGGTTACGGCCTAGTAGACAATTGAAGTTTGCATCAAAGCTATCCCAGTTTAGAACTTCAGCCATGAAAGAACACAATCATCTGAACAACAAGAAGCTAATTCTGAAACAAGAACATTTGATATTCCGGCCATGTTTCATACTCACAGGGCAAAAGTTGAAAAGTTTGTATCAGAATGTCCAAATTTGTTTACACTATTGCTCGATTTTATCAGTCTCAAATTGTAATGTTAAAAATATTTAAGGATTTAACTAGTCATGTTGGAGTCCATTTTGTTACTCCCTCTCCTCTGTCCCATAATTATTGTCCAGTTTGGGTTTTCATTTCTAGTTCAAATTGTACTAAAAATGAAATCTCAAACTGGACAATAATTTTGGGACAAAGAGAATACTAAATTTTTCATTTTTTTAGTAACGTTCATGTCTTTTACCTATGCCGCGTCATAAATCGATAGTCATATTTTCATATCGCACTATAAATACTTTAGCCAATCAATCTAGCAAATGCAACAACATAATTTAGGATGGGGAAGCAAGGCTCAAGCTCTTCGTTCTCAATTCTCATTATTCACATCTATTATCTCACATTTAACTAACACAACTTGATTGTGCCCCACTAATACATCACCAAAAATAATACAATCTATCATGACCATAATCATAGTAAACCCAAATTTTCTCATGCATGGCAAACAAGGGACATTTTTTTTTCCTTTTCTTTTTTGTCCCATTGTTATGAAAAAGATGTAGCAGCAAATATGGATGATATGCAAAGCAACTGCTCTTTTCACGTTTCTTTTTTTTTTAATTTTCACAATTATCATTCATGTCAAACCAACCTGCCCCCTTGTCCCCTCTGATGATATTTTAAGAAAGCAGTTCTTTGTCAATACAAAAGAGATTATCTCAAGTGAATAGGGCCTGGAGATCATAACCATGAGATTATATCTAAACGTTAAACGTGTTTCATTTGTTTTGTCAATATCACAAAAGATAAATGCATGTAATTATGTTTAATAAACCATTTTAATTAAGTTATTGTAATTACGAGATCGGAAATTTAAATCTCACTAGATGCAATTACAGAGAAATTAAAGGGAAAAAAAACATTATACGGAGAAAATTTTTAACTAATAACCTATATAAGTAGGCCAAAACATTCCATTAATTTATACGAATGATCAGCCGACAATAAGTAATCTCTTGGTCTATACAGTTCATCAAAATCCAATTATAAAGTTAGAAGAAGTCCAGCCGACAATATGTAGACATAATATTATCATCTTCAAAGTTCAACTAATTCCAACTTTGAGAAACAAAAATATTCTAAGTCTTGTGTCCAGAAGTATAGGGGATAAGATCACCACCTCATGGTTACGTTGCTGTTGTGACATGAATCCTTCATTTTCAAAACTTGTGACCTAAAAAAGAATACCTTATGGCAAGTTTATAATATGTAAATTTTGACCTATACAAACATTATATATTTATTAGGTAGGATATATCATCGGAGCATTATGTATTGCTAGGGTTTTTACGAGTCCTGTTCGAAATTTTACATTAACAATCTGTATAAGATGATTTGAGAACTTATCAATTTTAAGAAATAGTTGGAGTTCAATTTACCTCGCTGGTTTTCCTAAATATTGAGGTAAATTAGAACCTCCAAGAAAAGAAGCTTGTGTTTGGGTTACCCCTTTTTCGTTCAAGAAAATGGAATCAGGACACTTCAATTTTATTTTAGGGTTAAATAGTATGATTGGAATTGTAACACTGCTTCCGTCCCGAAATTATTGTCGGGTTTAGATTTTCATTTCTTATTTAAATTATACTAAAAATAAAAATTCAAACTAAATAATAATTTTCGGAGAGAGAGGGAGTCTTTCTTATTGATGTAGATGAGATAAACCAACCAACATGAGCTACAATCACTCCTATTGTAAGATTTGAACCAAACAACAACAATCGATTTCTACAATTCGTTGTGATTGGCCCTTCAATTAATGAAATTACTTCTGTCATTGAGAAATTTGAACCATACGCCCACTTAATATTGTCGTCTACACACTATTACAGTATAGATTTTATCACTATTACAATAGATATAGATTTAATCATTGGTTGGATTATTTATGTTTTAAAAAAATTAACGTAACACCAAAAAATATTATTATATTGATCCATGTTGTATGGGAATTGTGGTCTAATAATTCAATAACTAGATCTAGACATGTCAATATCATGGACTTATATATTCTTGCTTCAAAGACATAATATATCTCCACATCAAATTAAAGCATGTCCCTTTGACAATGAAATAACTTTGGTTTAATTAATTTGGAGGCTTTGTAGTTCGTATTATTACTAGATTTCTTGTGAATGCGGCAAAGCCATTGTCAGCCAGATCAATAGGCGTGATTCTGGACGTAAGTTCATTTTCATACCAAATCATGCTGCTCTGATTGATGAAGAAATTCAGGGTTTTTTGCCGGCGAATACAACAAAATTGCATTAGTTGATTGAGTCCAAATGAGATGTTTTTGGTTTATCTCAACTTTTATATGTACATTTTAGCTCGTTTTTTTAATGGAATTGGAGTGTTTGCGTTTTTGTCTTGTAATAATTTTTTTAAATCAAACAAAAACACAAACATTAATCTCATTTTTGAGACGAGGAAAATAATATATATTTATAAATTAATCTGCAATTGCAAGCAACGAGTAGGTCACTGATTCAGAAGTCCTGCCCCGGTGAGTATATTGCATATGTTTTCGGTTTCAATGTAATTATCTTGTACTCCTCCCGTATTCATTATAAGACATTTTGATTTCGTTTTAGGTTTCACTTAAGATGTCTTTTTAATTAGAAAAAAAAATATTAAAAATATATTTTCACATTCGTTGTTTTCTCATAATAATTATTATGAAATGTTTTTAAGATTTTTATTTCATTAAAAAAATATCTTAGGTGAAACATATAACAAAATCAAAATATCTTATAACAAGGACCGGAGGAAGTAATATATTTTATTCCGGAAAAAAAAAATATGTAATATTACCAAATATATAATCACGCTTGTGTAAGCATGCATGCACGGAAAACGAAGCAAAAGGCCAAACGTCGTAACTCTTAATATTGTTGATTGAATTAATCGCCAAAAAAGTAGTACTTCAGCTAGCTAGCTTCATAATTCAACCCTAATTTGCTAATCAATTATTTTCAAAAATATGAAACAGAGAGTAAAGTTCATAAATAGGTACTCCTTCCGTCCCATAATTATTGTTCATTTTGGATTTTCATTTCTAATTCAAATTATACTCGAAGGAAATCTCAAACTGGACAATAATTTTGGGACGGAGGAAGTATAAAACAATGTTGAATATTATATTGATGAAATAACAAGTTGAATACGAAATCAATGGACCATTTGGACAATCTAAAATCTTATTCGTTTGTAAAATTGATGATTTTATTTCTGAATATTGATGGTATCATGATTAATTGACCAAAATGATAAATAACATAATAAACAATAAAAATAATAAAGCGCTGAAATTTGTAACTAAACGTATGGCCTGGAACTCTTTTCAATTTCTCATTTGTTACTTCAAATCCTCTATCACGTACGTAGTAGATTGTGGTATGTCAATCCGTCGCACAAAATAAGCTGTACTTGTTTGTAAAATAACCAGGTTATATATTGTACATCATTTTTTTTTCTCACGTAAAACTAGAACTCCAATACTGGAGAAGAAAATAACACAAGATTCATAGAGAATATTTTAAATGTGCTGAGAATATTGAAAAAAAAAATTCTTAAATTCTTATTCCTATTCTGGCGATAAGGATATCGGTTCTAAAATTACTCACGACAACTCCAAAATTATTAGTCCTTCGACAACTATCAACTAGCAAGCCTTAATTATCAGCTGCAACTGTACCATTCCCTCTAACCTAGACCCGAAGGTAATCAAAAGTGTGGGGAAAGAGTTATGGGAAACATTCAATATATAGCTTCCAATGAAGAAACTATTAAATGCATAATCCAATATACATCAAATTTAATAAAAACAAAAAAAGATATTGTTCATAATCATAAGTCCTCTATCTATGTTCCTCATTTGAATTATTGAGCTCAGAGAAAGTTTGATTTGGAGTTCGATCAAATTTGTACATAGGTAACCTAATATTTTCAAGGAGTCCAATCGAATGAAAGTTCATCTGAATGAAAAATATACACAATTGAATAGTATTTACATGGTTCTAATATTCGACCATCTTGGATTGTTGACCTTTCTTTTTATTCCTCAACGAATCATTTTAGGTTTCTATTATTATCACAGCTACCTCACCGATGAATACCATTCGGGTCAAACATTTATTTCGTTGTTTGAAAATTTCATATACTACTTCTTAAAAGGGAGATTTCTACTTCCAAACTATAACTAGATGCTTAGCCCGTGCAGATGCCTGGGGCCCGTATTTTAAATTCGTTAATTATCTAAAATATAGTAATATTAATAAAAATAATATTGGAATAAATTCTATGTGATCAAGATAAACTATAGTAGACTTTTATACAACTCATAAATATCTTGTTGAAAAAAAATATAATTGTCCAATTTCACTTATAATTATATTTATGAAGATAATTTATGAAGATATTCTCCAAGAGTATAACTTCACTATTATTCTTGAAATCTGAAAAAAAAAAATCTCAAAATAATAATCATACCTTGGAATTACATATTTTACCTATAAATTTTTGTAAGGGAAAAAATTACCAGTGATTATGTTTAACGCAGAGATCCACCGCTTCTAGTAATTTATATAATGTCAATGATATCCAAAAGGATAATTTTCAAGACATCAAGATCCTCCTGTTCAACAGTATCATCATCAAATTAAGGAATCCCATCAATAATCTTATAAATTCTAAATATCCCAACAAACCCAGACAAAGAGAACTATATTCCCAGGTGTAACTAAAAGCAATATACTCCAATAATCATATATCTAAGTATCTAGATCAAAACTGAAAATAAAAATTACAAAATAAACATCGAAATCATCAGACAGATGTATGGGAATTGGAGTAGGAAACAAAGGGGAGAGCTTACTACATTCACGCTGGACAGACCATGCGAAATCCGGGCCAAATCTGAAAGTGACGCACTGCAGCAACTGAAGGAAAAAAAAACTGATTAGGAATGGATTGATGTGAAACATGATAAAATTGTAACTCTGATTTTGAGGGGTGAAAAAGTGACAGTGTAAGTCTACTCAAATCAAATTGATATGAGTATACGTAAAAATAAAATTATTACCAGCGAGAGAAGAGCAAGCTATCTAGAAAGAGAGCAAGCAAGGGGAATATTGTCTGAGAAGACGACAAAAAATCTGAAAGAAATTCCGTCTGATAGGAACTTGAAACCTCATTCTTCACAAATTGATCGACGTACTTAGTCAGACTGATTTGTTCGACCCGGGCACCATCATTGTCATCGATCTGTGTAATAAGGGCTTACAATTCTTCACGAATTCTCCCCCTAAAGGCTAAAGCTGATGGCCTATGAACAATTAATCCATAAGAGTTTACCTTTGAACGTCAATAGATCGGTGACTTTGGTTTCTGTTTCATCGACAATTATTCTGGAACAACTCATCTTGCCACTAGGATTGAAATTTCTCTCTGTGAATTCAAAACAACAGAAGAATAGAACCATAATAGTCAATCAGGTTATTTCAAATCAATCTCAAAGGTCTAATATTTCGCTCGCCGGAGAAGCCCGGGTTTCAGTCAGTTTGGAAGTAACAGGCTGAGGAACTGATATTTTATTAGTTGCTCGGATTTTGAAGGAAGGAGAGAGGAGGAAGGCCGGCAGTGGGTATTAGAAGAGGAGATTACTCTTTTAAAAGAGAAGAATCGTATCTGAAAAAAAAAAAGAATTTGAACTTCACTTATCTCTTTTTTTAAAAAAAAAAAAGGAAAAAATTGAAATGTTCTCGATGGAGTTAAGATTTGGAGGAATCATTTTCGGATTTGAATGTAAATCCCTTAAATTGGGGAGGGTTTAACGTGAACATTTAAAATAGGGAGTGATTATATCCCTTCTTTTACTGATTTTTTAAAATCCCATTATATTCTGCAAAACCCTTAAATTGGGGAGTGTTTTAAGGTGATCATTTTGTATCTTGCAGAATTGTGGAGCCTCTTCTTTTCGGATGTACACATGACACGTGACATCATTATTTTGCAAAAGATTTTTTTTTTTGGTTTAGGCGGGAAAAAAACTTATGTGAAGCTGACACGTGTTCTAAATGTCATTTGCTTTCATGAAGTAAAAAGAATTATTCCTATCGGGCAATACTCAATTGGATAATAGAAACTTTATTATACATATTTTTTTTAAAAAAAATACGGGTATCAATCACATCATTCATTTTCTTTAATATATTCCAACTTCACCTCTTATTCCCATGATTACTAATAAGAAAAAATGAAAATAGAATTTTTATATATAAAATTCATAAATGTGAGGGTAAAGTAGTTGTAAGATGCGAACATTAATTAAAAAAAAAATAAACATATATGGTTGTTGCAAGATAATGCTTGATAAAAATTTTTTGGCGTATTTTTGTTAATTTTTTATTAATATTTTTACCTTTCCAGCTAATAGGTTTTTATATATTTTGATACCTTTTTTACATTTCTGAATAAGAAAATATACACTGAAATACGTTTGAAACACATTGGGACCTTACAATACCGAATCTTTTTGTCAAGCATTTGACCTTTGATTCGTTGAAATTTAAAAATTGCTGTAATAAATTATTAACGTGCTGATTGATAATAATATATTGCATAGTTGAGGTAAAAAGTAAAAACTGTGTCAGTGTCTTCTCTTTTTTCTAAGTGCTAGGAAGCTTCTTTAGAAGTGTACTTGCAATTGGTTTTGCCCTCTTTTAATATTTTATTTCATTTTGTTTTTTAGAAAAAAAAAAATTGTTTAAAGGAAACAAAACTCTGTCATTCATCCACGTCCAGCACTAAACTTATTGTTGATGTACAAAATGAGGCCATAAGCCATACTAATTCATTAAGGTGTCCATAATATCACATGTTTTTGCTATTTATAACCTATACGAGTTACTAAAAGTTTCTAGTTTCTACACTCATTTAACCTCCGTTATTTAAAATTATGATTTGATAGCTCAAACTAAGAATGATAACTGGTCGATCTTGTAAATAACGTTAATTTTACTATTTTCTCATCAGATATGAGCACAATACTCTCTTATAAAAACAAAACATTATATGTCATTTCTCTCGATATGAGGTTTTCCATGTTAGGATAATGCATTACATATTAATTATTACATGCTCTAAAGGTGATTAATGCTTGATTATGAGTATGAAAATTCTAGTGAATTTTTTTTTTTTTTTGGTTACAAAGTGAAATACTTACTTTTATCATTCCTTTATGTAGTCTCGCATAAGTGGCTAATTCTTAATTTCATGGTTTTGAGTATTATAAATTATTACAACCTTATTCTTAATAATTTATTCACCACTCAATAATTTCCTCCATTTTTTATTGGGTAGTTTCTTTTGGATAATTAAAATCTTATCCAAACAATACTGCATTAAATGAGGAAAGTCCAATAAGACAGCTTTGATTGGGGCAGCAGAATTTACGAAAAGCTAAAAGTAAAAAAATAAAAAAAATAAAATAAAAATTATTAATAAACAAGTGGATTATTCCCAAAAGGAAAAATCCCAAATTCCCAATAAGACAGCCAGCCAGTAGCCAACCAAATTAGGTCAGCAAAGATAATTACGTCACCAAACAAGCACATCAAAGCTGTTCATATGCCAGAATAACATGTCAGAAGGAACCCCGTCGTTTTGTTCCACGTGGCAATCCGACAATTTCCTCGTGCTCCTCACGCCTCATTTGTGTTCAACTAACGGAAAACGTTAGATTCGCACCTTCTATAAAATAATCAATCAATTTTCACCGGCTATTAGCGGTGCTGAATTGACCATTGTGTCTAACTTGATACTATATGAGAATATATATATAAACGTGTTTGTTTTATTATTTTTGTTTTGTTTTTATAAAAAGGATAGAAAAACAAATTCTTGCAAATATAAACTCAAGAGGGGCTAGAATTAGAAATAATTGATGTGATATATATATATATAATTATGTCGTCGATAATTAAATTTTGAGTTTACTCATATTTGAGTTCTTATATGAAGTCCTTCCATTTGAGAAGAAAAATTAAGAAGATACAATCATCACTATAAGTAGTTAAATAGAAATTCAATAATTATACTATTAATAAGTTTAAGTGTCTTATGCTAAATTTTTGTAAATGTCCTTTCTCTATTTGAGCAAAAAAAAAATCAGAATGATATATTCATTTTTCATAAAGTTTTTCTATCTAGCTGTAAAATATTATTAGAATTTACTATACTTACACTAAATGTTGCTTATCTTTTAAAAGTTTGAATTCAAACTCAAGGTAAACAACTTTGTAACTTCACAAAATTGATGATACATATTAAATGTCATTGACTCTGCTTTGTCAGCAAAAATATACAAAGGAAATATAAATTCAACAATGAAGTTAAAAGTTAAAAGAAATCATAATTATAAAATCTAATGTATGTGAATTTTTGAAGTTGAATTTTTCAGAAATTTTTTTCCTGGGAGATAAAATCGGGACCTAGAGGTGTGAATATTATCCAAAATAACCGGGTATTCCCGGTGACTATTCATACACAAACTCACATCTAAACTCTCTGTTTCGTACGAATTCGCACGGTAACGGTACCGTTTGAATGTAATAATGTCTCCCGTTACGGAATCACTTTCGGGCGTGTTTGATTACTCAACAATATTCAACACAATACGCACGCAACTTGCAATCACAACACCAAACACGCCCTTCTTCCTCTATAAATACCATCGTCCGCCAAACAATGATCTTTTTTCCCCTCTTCTTCCACTTTCCACTCTTAACCCCTTCTTCCCCTCCGGCAATCTCGCCGGCCCTCCGACCACTTTCTCGCCGGGATATCAAAATCCCTTATTTTTCGGCAGTCTCCTCCTCTTTCTCTCCCTTCATTTCCGAGGTTCTCTCTCTTTCTCTCTTCCTTTCTCTCCTTCTCATCCCCTCTCTCTCTCTCACACACACACAGTTGATTTACGTTTCAATATTGTTCTTCATCGTTTTTTAATTTTTAGATCTGATTTGTATTGGATTGATTTTTTTTCTTTATTTTTCCTTCTACCCTTTTTGTTTTAGACCTTGTTTATTCTGTCTATCTTTGGTATATGCATCATAATTTAGCTCCACTCGGATCTTTGAATTTTCTTTTAATTTGAGCTTTTTTGCATTTAATTGTTCTAAAGCTTAGGATTTGATTTTGCTTTACAATTAAGTTCTTTCTTTAAAATGATACATTCTACATGAGCGACTGGTATATCTATCTCCCTGTTTCAATTTTATGTAAAGAGGATATTGAACTTTAGTAGTAGTAATTGGGAAGATCACTTCAGTTATGATAGTCAAGTTGGCTTTCTCTTTGCTATAATGTAAAAGAAAAAGGCAAGATTGATTCTTTCTGCTTTGCATTCCTATTGAGGATACGAGATTTATATAAGATGGATAGCGAGCAAAGGAAAAGATGGATTAGGTAAAGCATAAGATAATGGTTGTTGCCAATAATGCATTTTTTTTTTTATGACCGTTATGGTTTGTAGTCATTTTCCACTGGTCCAAATTCCAATTTGGGGTTTTTTTTTTTTTTTTTTTCGTTCTCCAGTTCGTTTTCTATGGAAAAGCTTATAAAATTTACATAGTTGTGTGATGTTTGACTTTTTATGTCTTCTCTTACATTAGTAGGTGCATCAGAATAAGCATTGCATTCGTATTGTTTACTATTGTATCCATTCATTCTGGAAATAGGATTGTCTATTATAATATCCATGATCCCCACATAAACAGTTGGAGATATTTTGTATATATGTGCCAAACCCTGGTTTGAAACTAAAGTCTTGCCCTTTGATGCACAGTACCCTTTTGGATCGAAGGTCGGAGGGTTTATCAATGGAGTCTGCCAAGGAATATCCGCTTCGGAATGTTAGTTCTCATTGTTCCATCCCGGAAATGGATGATTATGACTTCACAAAGCTTCTTGATAAGCCGGATAGGCCTAAATTAAACATTGAGAGGCAGAGATCTTTTGATGAGAGGTCACTCAGCGAGTTGTCCATTGGTTTATCTAGAGCTTTAGATGCTTATGAGACTGCTTACTCACCTGGCCGGTCGGCTTTAGATACCCCTGCTTCATCCACTCGGAATTCTTTTGAGCCGCACCCCATGGTTGCTGAGGCTTGGGATGCTCTCCGGCGGTCCATGGTGTTTTTCCGTGATCAACCTGTTGGCACAATCGCTGCTATTGATCATGCGTCGGAGGAGGTTCTGAACTATGATCAGGTAAAATTAAGTTGCTCAAGATTACATTTCACTCTCCTCTTCCATGTTATGGTACTTGTTGAGAAAAATTATACTGGGATGAGATTTTGCTGCTCAAGAACAAGTGGCTTGTATAACTGACTCCAATTGTCAAACTAGTTACAAATGAAATGGTGTAAAGAAAGATTTCCTGTAGCTGGAAACTTTTGTTTCTTCCCATCTATCCAATGTATGATGTTTTGGGTTTGTTCATTTGTTAACGCTATCTTTTTATTCAGGTTTTTGTTCGAGATTTTGTACCCAGTGCTCTGGCATTTCTAATGAACGGAGAGCCTGAAATAGTCAAAAACTTTTTATTGAAGACACTTCAGCTTCAAAGTTGGGAAAAGAGAGTTGATAGATTCAAACTCGGGGAAGGAGTCATGCCAGCTAGTTTTAAGGTTCTTCATGACCCTGTACGCAAGACAGATACTATAGTAGCTGATTTTGGTGAGAGTGCGATTGGAAGAGTTGCTCCAGTTGACTCTGGATTTTGGTGGATCATTCTTCTACGTGCATACACAAAATCTACTGGAGACCTCACTTTGGCTGAAACACCAGAGTGCCAAAAGGGAATGAGACTTATATTGACCTTATGTTTATCTGAAGGTTTTGATACCTTTCCTACCTTGCTTTGTGCTGATGGATGCTCAATGATTGATCGGAGAATGGTAAGATCTTTGGATGGCGTTATCTAATGTTTTCATCTATGCAAATAAATGATAATGCGCGTATCATGGTCTAGTTCTTCCCAAACCTTCACAATTTAAAATGATTTGAGTAGTTTATTCTGAGGGCAAGCATATGCAAATATTTGAATTCTTATCCGAAGTATATATTTTTTGTACTTACTGAGTTGACATCTCCTGTATCGTACTCTCTGTTACCTTTTACCGTTATGCCTATCTGTACGTGTGCTGATTAGAACAAGGATATGTAATTCTATTCAAGTTTTAGTTACACCGTTTATACTGATGACCCTGCTTTATCTTGGTGGGACAATGAATTTTGATACCTTCAAGGCAATGACTTTTAGATAGGTTTTGCTTTTCTCTTTTCTTCCTTGGAACAATTTGGTTTATCTCAAGACCCATGGTTAGGTAGATTTTGTTTCCACCAACGCCAGGTATTAGTTGGCCTACAGCTAAGTCTAGTTGTTTTTGAAGTTTTCTTTTAGTGTTACGTCGCATCCTTCCTCTATTCATCTGTGTTTGATGCTGGTACTGCATCAGACATTTCCATTAACATCAATTGCCTTAACTGTTGAGGATGATTTAACTGCAGTATTTCTACGGCAAATATCAAATTTTAATCACATATTCAATTGCAGTTCTATTCTGGCTCACGATCCTGCCTTTTTATTTCCTAGGTTGTTTATGTTTCTGAAGTTCCTTTATTTGTTTCTGCGATTCTACTTCTTGTACATAGTTGCACCATTAAAGACTTTTGATCATTATCTCTGTTGCTTCATGTGTATGTTTGATTCATCACCATTTAGGATGCTTATGTATATCCGCACTCGTGAAGAATCTGCTTATTCTCTGGAAAATAGTTAGCATGGTTGTCCTTGATTTTCTCATTCTTTATGGGATTTCAGAAGTTTGGTTCCACGGCTAATTTTACTCAAATGGTTTTATCCATGTATATAGGGAGGAGGGAATGTTTTTGTGATATTTATTAAGTAGATGGAATACCTACACCAATCATTAGCCTTCGTAATAACTGGGAATTTTAAGTGATAATTGAATGTTTGCCAATGATCCACAACTATTATAGCATCTTGACAGCAATTGATATATTTAAGGCCTTAATGTTGTTTTATTATGTTTCAGGGAATCTATGGGTATCCAATTGAAATCCAAGCACTCTTCTTTATGGCCTTGAGATGTGCTTTGCTAATGCTTAAGCATGATGCGGAAGGGAAAGAATGCATTGAGAGAATAGTCAAGCGTTTACATGCCTTAAGTTATCACATGAGAAGTTATTTCTGGCTTGACTTCCAACAACTAAATGACATATATCGTTACAAAACTGAAGAGTATTCGCATACTGCAGTAAATAAGTTTAATGTTATTCCAGATTCAATTCCAGAGTGGGTGTTTGACTTTATGCCAACCCGTGGTGGTTATTTTATTGGAAATGTTAGTCCGGCAAGGATGGATTTCAGATGGTTCGTCCTAGGAAATTGTGTTGCTATCTTATCTTGTCTTGCCACTGCCGAGCAAGCTGCTGCAATTATGGATCTTATAGAAGCTCGCTGGGAAGAGCTTGTCGGTGAAATGCCCCTCAAGATCTGTTATCCTGCTATAGAAAGTCATGAATGGAGAATAGTCACTGGATGTGATCCAAAGAATACAAGATGGAGTTACCATAATGGTGGATCTTGGCCAGGTTCTTCATCTTTTTCTTTTCATTTTGTTCCTCTCTGTTTTACTGCATTGTTATAACACTTTTCTTTATTTTTTGACATGAGAATTCACTAAAATCAATTTCTTCTGCGATGCATATTTCAGCTCTAGATTCGTATGTTCCTCTTCTAATCTTGCACTTGGGTCAGTAGTAGTTCTATAGCTAAATTTGTGATAAAGTGGATTGCGGCTTTGCCATGGATGATTTGTGGGATTTTGCTCGAGTTTTTCATTGAGTTTGTTCTTGTCAATGGTGTACACCCTTTTTTAATTGTCAAAATGAGTGAGAGTATTCACTAGGGTCGAGTAACATGATTTTACGAGCTCTATCTGCAATCATGCAATTCCTTTTCATTGTTTTCTTCTTTCAGTGACATTTGAGCTTCCTTAATTGGTATTTGAGCTTTATATTCAAATAATCCCTATCCAATGGTATATTCAATGATCTTTTTCCCAATGCAGTTCTCTTGTGGCTGCTAACGGCTGCATGCATCAAGACTGGACGTCCTCAAATTGCTAGACGAGCTATTGATCTTGCCGAGAGCCGTTTACTCAAGGATAGCTGGCCCGAATACTATGATGGAAAACTGGGGAGATTCATCGGTAAACAAGCTAGAAAGTACCAGACATGGTCAATTGCTGGATATCTGGTAGCAAAGATGATGCTGGAAGATCCTTCACACTTGGGGATGATCTCCCTTGAAGAGGACAAGCAAATGAAGCCTATAATGAAAAGATCATCGTCTTGGACTTGTTGACAGAGAGCCGAGGGAACAGAAAAAATGCAGAAAATAGTAGAAAGAAAACAAAAGGTGAGAGAAAAGGAATTTTCTTTCTTTACTAGAGAAACTAATTCTTTGGCAATTTGTGCCATTGTAATGTTCCATTTTAAGTTTTGCTTTGTTGTGTGCATTAGCATCCTCTGGGCTTTTGTTTCTTCCTTATTATTTAATAAAATGGACATTTATGATGTTGGTTTAGACTGTTGAATGTCAATATTTTTATGATTTGGTTGAGATTAATTTAGGTGAAAGCTTGGGATAATCCTTAGGACAAGGAAAGTACTAAAACTTGGAGTTTGATCGGAGCTGAATCGTCTGTAAGAGTTCAAGTTTTTGTTTTGATTTTCCTTTGACTTACAAAACGTTACTTCAGAAATCAGATAAAATAACACAGAACAAAAAAAAGATTATAATATGGTGGTTTGAAGGCCTCTATATTGGCAATTCTTATTAATATAAGGGAGAGGCTTGTGGATGGAGAGGATTTCCCCTTTTTAAAATGTAAATATACTCTCCTCCCAATTCAAGTCTAGTAATGAAACATACTTCCTCTGTGTCGAAATTATTGTCCAGTTTAAATTTTTACTTTTAGTTCAATAATATTATAAATGAAATCTCAAACTGTATAATAATTTTGAGACGGAAAGAGTAATTGTTATTATGAGTCGGAGAATGTAAAGCCCTACAAACATATCAAAATATTATCTTTCATTACAGCTTTATAAAGTACTAAAGCTGTAATTTTGGGACGGAGAGAGTAGCTTACTTTTGTAATCAAAGTATCATCTTTGAATGAAGTAATTTCCAAGTATTTATGTTTTGATTGAGTAATTTCTGGGACACTGAAAAAACAAGCTAATAAACGTAAAATCATTATTAATATGGTTTACGAAAAATATTGCTCATTCTCCTTACATCTCATGTCCACAACAAAAATCCATACTCTCTTTCCCACCAAATGAAAAAAAAAAAAAAAAAAAAAATCTTGCATGTTGAGTATCAATATAATGCAATGTCCTACTTACAAAACTAAAATAATTCGATAAGCTAAATTATTACTATGTTTGGGCAGAATGATTTTTATTCTGTGGACTTTGTTGTTGAAATAGCGGGAAATAAAACAGCGAGATAGGCTTTCGTGGGCTTGTAACTTGTGATTTTTTTTATTTTTTATTTTTTTTTATTTTTTTTTTAGAAATAACTTGTGAGTTGAATAATGCACAAGAATTGTGAAAAAGGATTTCTGGTTGGAAAAATGCGGAGCACAGAAAAGGAGTATAATGTTAGTTGTAAATAGAAAAAGAATAGTGTGCTTGAGTTGTGATGAGCTGTTTCTTTTCATTTGTTTGATCACTCCTTTGAGCTGTCTTTGTTGTTGATTCTGGATTCTTGAATTAAAAATAGTCAAGGCCAGATTTTATTTTATTTTTTTATCAAATTTCTTTATACATTCACAAGATTAATCCTGGTGTACCTGTTTTTTTTCCTCCTTCAATTGACCTTGTTGACTTATGAGTCAATAATCAAATTTGTCAATAATAAATCAAATAGAAAATAATGAAATTCAATGATAAGAATTGTTTACTTGCTAAATTCAATCAGACCCAAAATAGAACACCTTACAAACTAAAAGTCATTCTTGTAGCTAGTGCTCTATAAGTACTTCCTAAAACCAAAGTGTTCGATTCCTGACTTTCAGGATACCGAAAATCTGATCAGATACTGTTATCATATAAAATTTTACTTATTCAGCAATTTCTTCTCCTTACTCGTAAGCACCTAGTGTAAGTATGTAAAGTTTCACCTAATTAGTCATCCTTTTTTCTTATATCCTCACTTGTGACTTGATTTGTCATGAAAAATCCCTCATTTGAAAAATGAAATGAAGCTAAAACAACCATAGTAATTTGCTAACAGAAATTTTGATTGGTTAATGTCCCCCAAACAAATGGGACCAAAGAATAAGAAGAAGAAAAGTGGATAAGTAGTAGGTGTGTGGAAGACCCTATAAGCTAGCTAGTAAGTACTACTAACTAGTATACAAAATATATAGCCATTAGCCCTTCTTCTTTCCCCTGCTTCCTGCTGGCAGCCTCTTTGAATTTGTTCCTCTGCAAAAATTGCTGATGAATAATACAAAGATGCACCAAAATAACTTCTGAACAAATTTTTTACTGTCAAAAGTGTTTTTAAAAATAATAAAAAAAATAAAAAAAAGGACCCCTGCGTGCTGGAATCAGTGCTCTTCCTCCAGGTCCACCATAATTTAATTTCTCTGTGTTTTTTTTTTTTTTTTTTTTATTATTACTCTCTTTCTTTCCGTGTCCCCTAATTTAACTCTGATAAATCACTTTCTTCTTTTGGTCCCCTTTTCTGACTCCTCTGCTCCCCCTGCAATTTTTTCCGTACTCTTTTTTTTTTTTTTTTGCCATCCTTATTAGTATTATTAACTCTGCATGTGATTCATATATGAATGAATTCGATTATATAATGTGTGGTGAAAGAAGCCCAAATACAGAGATGACTCTGGCTGCTGGGAGCCCAGGATTTGGAGAGTAGTAAAAGCTCGTCACATTTATTGGGCATGTAGCGCAGTCAAATTCTTCTTTTTATTTCCTTTTTTTTTGAGTAAAAAGGTGGTTTCTATTTGGTATATTATACAATTCAAAGACTCCTTCTGTCATAAAATTTTTGCTCGGTTTAGATTTTCATTTTCAGTTTAATTTGTATTAAAAATAAAAATTCAAATTAGACAATAATTTTGAGAGAGAAAATGTATCCAATTATATCCGAAATCGAAATTCTTTTTTTCGTGTAGTAAAAAATACATCATCTGTCTCAAAATTATTGTCTAATTTATATTTTTACTTTAAGTTCAAAATAAAATCTAAACTGTATAATAATCTCGGGACAAAGTGTATATCATTATAGGATTGTAACATTTACCTAACGCACAGTCGATCCGCTCTAGACTAAATGACTCAGGAGAAACTGAAAATTCGTTTCTTTTGTTTTTGATTTCCACTTCTAATAGTATTTCTGTATTTGACTTATCTTCTTCAATCCGCGCTCAATAATGTGAATTATTTTTAAAAGAAATGTCATTCTTCTCACCATTATTGGACTCATTATCATAGTATTCGAGATCTCCTAAAATCTCTTCACGGCACGATATTAGATTATCAATAATACAATTTAAGATATGTTAAATAAATTAATTAATCAATAAACATGTTAATATAGGTTTAAGGGATCAAAGTATATCTTCTTAATATCACTAAATTATTTTATTACGCATATTAGCAAAAAAGATTTATTTTATTACGGGTTCACAATCACCGTGGATGATAGTTATGATCAGATGGGTAATTAATTTGAGGCGTTCAATGTTAAATATCCTTCGTAAATCTTGATTCTCAACGTTCATCCATCCGCTGTTCGTGATTTATTTACAAATTACCAATGGTGACGTTAAGACCAACCAAGAGGAAGTGAGTTATCAGTTTCCATTTTATTGACATTTTGTCCATCAAAATTTCACAAATCAAACCCTCAAAATGCTTCATCGACCCCTCCCTATCACTTTATCAAAAAAAAAACCCTCACTCTCGCGTACCAAATTAATACTATTTCCGTCACAAAAAAAAAAAAATAATCCACATTCAGTTTTCAAATTTGTACTAAAAACAGTATAAAACTCAACACTCAATGTAGATTATTTTTGTGAGATAGAAGGAGTATTAAGCAAACCCGTAAAACGATTGAAACGTTACATCATGAACACTAAAACGAACAATATACATATAGAACGGTGCACACTTGGCGCGTATAAAATACACAAAATCTTTTTAATTATATTACTTTTTTTTAGGAATAAAGTCGAATATTATATTCTTATTATTTGCTATTTAATTTCACTGTTTCTATCATTAAGGTATGTTAAAAAGAGAGAAATCGACCACCATCTACTTTGCACCCTCTATGGGAAGAAATTTCGGATATTTGTCTTGAATATGCATGTGTGAGAGAGAAAGGGGAGTTATTGGTTAAAATGTTGGGGAAGAAGGGTTCAAAAGATAGTTTGTTCAGCAAATCAACAAAGATTACAACAAGTCTTTTTTTTTTGAACATCATACAACAAGTCAAGAACAACAACAAAACCACATGACACTCTAATTATTATTATCATTATTATTATTATTATTATTATTATTATTATTATTATTATCAAAATTAATTATTAACTATACTACATAATGTATGATGTGGCTTGGTCTCACTCTCTTTATTCTGATTTTGTGGTCACTAGCACACATGTTAGAATCTGTCCCTTCTAAAGGGATATCTACATATATTGCGGTCCAACCCAACAAAATATTTTACTATAATAAATTGAATTTATTTTCTAAATAATAATAGTAATACCAATAGTTGCCCTAATTTGGTGTTTGGACTTGATAATCGTCATCATTGTCGTCATTATCAACATTTGCTTTACTAATAATAAGTGAGTGCTGAGAGAGAATAGCAGAAAGCAATCTTTTAGACTAAATAAATTGTATAAATAAAATAGAAAGATATAAAAAAAAAATGGTTAATTGAATTTTTATGATCAAAGGCTAAAAAGGACTTGATATGGACGTTAGTGAAAAAAGCTTTGTGTTTGATTGAGATTGTCGTCGTCTCCCACGTTTTTCAATTCAATTTTTTTGATTTTTTCAACCCTTTCACACTTTTGAAAAATCCTCCTCTATTATTAACCAAAATAAAAAATAAAAAAAAGCCTCCTCTATATAGCTAATTAGCCCCTCTCTCTCTCTCTCTCTCCAATGGCACCGTTTTTCGTAAAGTAGTGGCTCAAAATGTATAATTATTAATCATTGGAGTATTATCATCCGACTTAGAAACGTGAAGGAGATCAAATATCTATAAGTTCACTCATTGATATTAGACGATAAATCATGTGATGCGCATATAAAAAAAAAAAAAAAAAAACCCCGTAAACATCATTTTCTTACATTTCACATTTTTGTTACTTCCTCCGTATCTTAATTATTGTCCAGTTTGGATTTTCATTTCTAGTTCAAATTATACTAAAAGTGAAATGTACCGCATACATGCATGCGCGAGGTTTATACTCTTGTTAAAAATATATTGTTAAAAATGTACCGCATGATAACGTAATAAAGAGATTTCTCGTTCGCTCCATATTCTTGAGATTTTAAAAATAAAATGTACATGTAATGGTAAAATAATTTCAATAACAAGTCTTTAGACATTTGGCTAGAAATTACTAACTATGGCCTTCAGTCGAAGTAGTTGTAATATGTAAAAAAGACAAAATAACAAGATATTATCTCCTGATTTATAATAGTAATAATTATTTTTTAGCCAAATCATACATGGGCAGTGAGTTTTTTACACCTTTGATGTAATAAACTCTTTGCAGTTTGCATAACATGTGGCTAATTGATACTCTTGTCCCATCACCTTCGATCTCCCTTATTCCCACATTTTATTTGTGTGCATCATCATTTAAATGCATCTTTACTCGATCCTGCATCTCATTTAATAACCGAATAAGTTTGTTTTAGTGAAAAAGAGAACGATCGATGCTCAGAGTAACTAGTAAGATTCGAACTCAGTAATTTTTTCTTTTATTGAAATCTTGAGAACCCTAATTCACTATGACAATGCTAGAGATATGTTACGTTTCAAGTTTTATTTTTGTTTCTTCACACTATTTATTACTCCCTCCGTCCCATAATTATCGTTCACTTTGCCTAAAAAATTTTGTCCCAAAATTATTGTCCAATTTGATTTTTTATGGATCAAGTTACACATTTGTCCTTAGTAAAAAAACATTATCCATAAAATCTTAGTGGTTAAATAATTACTTATGTAGAGGTATATCCGGTTGTTTAAGGTAAAATATATTTAAGTTTGGCTAAAAATAAAATCTTTCATTTTAGTAAAACTGGATAATAATTATGGGACGGAAGGAGTATTTGAAAAGGTGGGAAAAAGAAAAAGGAAAAGGGAAAACAAAGGGTTGTTGCATGATTGAACTTGGTGAAGTCGGCACCATAAATGTTGTCTACAGTTTTTGAACATTTGACTTCCATAAAAATGAAAGCCTCTATGGTACCCATCAAAGTAACATAACTACGCCACACAAATATGTCCAAAATAATTGCCAACTACTAACTTGTACAGACCGCAAGAACATTTCTCCAAGTAGAAGGGCAAAACAAAAGATATACCGAAAGTAAGTCAAGCTATATATATATACTATATATATATATTAAATATTTCGATTCGACAATTTAGTTTTATATTCGATATTTGAATTTGAATTTCTTTTGGATAAACTTTCCAAATTTACCGGTAATTTTTATAGTAATTTCCTCAAAACACCAAACATCAGTCTCTAGTGTTACTTTTTGCAATTTCAACCTAAGTGGAATCGCTTTCGAGTTTTCGACAGATAAAAGAAATATTTCTTAAAGTCTAGATACATCATCATTTCACAATTTATTTGGAATTCAAAACATATACGTGCACCAAGTAACTTATCAAATGAACCAAGCCGTTTCATTATTGGTTTTGGAAGGTTTAACAATTAATGGTTTTGCTTATTTTATAAATCAAATCAACTATATTGAAACTAGGTTACTATTTCGTTCGTTTAGAGTTTGTACATAACAGTTACAAATAACTAAAGTGATTGTGGTTGAGCGATTTAGTTTAAACTCTAAACGTCTCTGTCATTGTTGTGTATACAATTTAGCGAGAGAATTGTAAAAATTGACTAATATTATCGACAATAGAAACTCGTGTAAACATGTTAACAATTCTCTTAAAAGAAAAAATTTGTGGAAAAAAAAGGAAGAGAGAGGGAGCAAGAGAATTTAAACAGGGTGTCATACGTGGCTGAGGTGATTGCCCTATTCTCTCTTATAGTAGCCAGCTAATTAGCTAATAATAACATTCCTTACAGAAAGAAAAGAAAAGAGAAAGAGGCCCCACGAGTGGTTCCTTCTCCTTGCTGTACAAAATAGTAATTGCACTTAAGGTCCCCTCACTCTCTGCCATCACCCCAGTTGGAAATTGGACCCCCCAAAACTTCCAGCCTAGCACCACTTTGGCCCCTCTTCACTCCTCTATTTCACACACAAAACACACCCATTATTTTTTTTTGCCCTTCAAATTAATATCCCTCCAAAAATAAATATCCTCCAACATCCATTTTGACCTCACTTGTTTAATATAATACGCCCCCACTCCTTCATTTCAATTTAATTAATCCCCAGATTTCTTAATTCTATATATATATATATATATATATATATTAAAGGAGGATTTTCAATCGGACAGATGGCGCAAAATTAGATAGGTTAATCCACATAGCAAAAAATTAGATAACTAAGTCTACATGTCGTAACCACATCACTCCATCATTTAATAATAATTTTTTAATTTGTAAATCCGTAAAATCTATAAATAATAAATTTATAAAATAAGTAAAATAACTTCTAGGGTTTGCCAGCATTTGGCTATCCGTTTCCATCAACTCTAGAGTTTCACATTTCCGTATTCCAAATAAAAGGCCAAACACTTCTGCTTGAAAAAAATTAATTAAAAAATTCACCACAATGGACCGTACTTAAATGTAATTAAATACGGGTCTAATACTAGGAAATACAATATCCTAACACTAGATTGTTATTCAATTCCGTTTGGGTCGACATCTTACTTCTACCTTTGTTTCATATTTCTCCCTTTGGCTCATGCCAAGAAATCAATAAGTTCCTTATTTCTCCCTTTAACTTCTGCCAATAAATCAAACTGAGACTTTGTAGATAACTATTCTAGTCAATCACACGAAGCGTTTATTGGTTGGAACATAGAAAAAGTAAAAAAAGTACCAAATTTTTATTTAGTAAGGGTTTTTAATTATTATTATTATTATCATCATCAATTACTACTACTTGTGATGTTATTGTTCAAGCTCAATTGGCCGAAACGGAAGATCTGCACGGTCCCTTTCACTATTCCTTCCTTTTATTTATTGTTATATAAAAGATGTAAAATGGGAGCATTATGTAAAATTAAGAGTATACTTCTAATAAAATATATAAAGTCATAAATCAACAAAACGAAAAAGATGGACAACAAGTTACACTGGATAATTTGGAATATTAAAAATTATTCAAAATGACAAAATGCATTGGCATTAAGAATTACACAATTTTAAATTACATCAGTAAATTATTTTGTTTTATATATATATATATATATATATCTCCGTAAAAAATATCATACAATCGTTAAATCATTAAGCTCATATATATCTTGAACAACCTGCACAACACGCGGGGTAAACACTAGTATATATTAAAGGAGAGTGGTTCGCAGAAACTAATTTAGCTTAGTTAGACTATCAATAGTTTTTAGGGACACGTGTAGCTTCGACGTTTGAGTTTCATTAAACGGTTAGAGTAATTTTATAATTTCGTTAATCCAGATTTTACTATTTTAATGTTTTACCTTATTTATTTTTGAAAAATAAATAATGTGATCATTATCTTCTCTATTACGTTTTAAAATTTAAAATATTTAAATTTGAAAGATATATATCAGAATCAAATCTTCCAAATCTCTAATCTTCTCTAATACGATTCGTTTAATCTTCTCTAATACACTTCTCTTCCTTTATAAACAAGATAAATATAAAATTATTCACCAAAACAGATTTTTTTTCTTCTGCCTCTCAAATTCTCTCCTCTTGCTTCTTATGTCATCCCGCTACCGCCATCTCCACTGTCATTCCGCTATCAGTGACACCTTCTACCGCTGCCTCATGCCTTTTGTCGTTGCCGCCGTCAATATCAGAGGTATTAAGCTTGATATGTTACTCGCTTTTCTTCTCTTTTGTTTTTTTTTTCCTTTCTGTTTGAATAAAAACTTTCAAATCACTATATATGTAGACCAATTTCAACTATTGCATTGATTGATTTGGTTTGAACGATTTTGTTTGACAGTTACAGAACCGGTGGTGGTTATAGGGAAGGCTCGGTTTTTTCCCTCTCAGTTTACACACTCAAGCTATGCGTGGGAGCAAGTATTAGTTTATGTGATTTAATTTTGTGATACATTTTATATTTTCCGCCAACTAATTTTGTTGAGTTTTTTTTTTGTTTTTTTTTATCACTTTATCTCCTGGGTTCGTATTGCATTTCCATATTGACTCAATTTGACTGTAATGATAGTTCAAAATTTCTGAGAATTTTAATACTAGCTAGAATATGACTGCATCTCCAAGTTTACTAAATTTACATTATATGCAACGAAATACACAAGACAGATTCATTTCAAAGATGGTTCATTATTAGTTTTTAATTAAATGCTGCAAACACAGTTAAACTGATCGTTAATCAAAAGAGACACAAAAAAAAAAGTTTAAAAAATGCAAAGAGATAAGAAAAAATTAATAGTAAAAAGTGATTACTACTACTTCCTGATCATATGCCGCGATAATTTCAAAATGAATGATAAAATAAAATGTAATTCATAACTAGTAAACTCGAAATTCAATATTGATAGATAGCTACAAATACTCATTCACTAGCTTTCATATTAGCGAAAACCAAGAGTAAAAATGAAACTGTAAGGACTAAAAGGAGAAATATTCTCTTAGACTCTGTAGTAGGCTCCCCCTCACCCCCACCTACTCTACTTTTTTCTATTATCCTTTTTTCATTGCTTTCTTCTTCTCTCCCTCTTTCACACACACACACACACACACACAAAGACACAGAAGACAGCAGTCAACCAACAAATGAAAGAGAGGAAAGTTGGAAACAACCCCACTACTTCAATTCAATTCTCTCTACTACTACAGTACTACTACTACTTCCAACTTGGCTTCTTTCTTCTCTTCTCATCAAAATTTGGCTCAAAAACACCAACACTTTTGCACTTCTACTACCATCATCATCATCAAACAACAACAACTTGATCTCCAAGCTTTTTTTAATATTTTTTTTTTTTCTTACCCCCTATTCCCCTTCCTTCTTTCTCTTTCCTTGTCCATTTTCTCTGCTCCCCCACATTACCCCAACCCACACCATTTTTCTTTTGCTTATTGGGATTGGACTAATGTTTTGAAAAATCCCCCACACCCCACCAAAAAAAAAAAAAAAAAAAACCCTTCTGGGGGCCATTTCTTGGACTCCACCCCCAAACAAAAATTGAAAAGCTTTGAAGATGGATTTTATGGAACCTCATAGCAAAAACCAAGGGAGTAGTAGTAGTAATTCCGACCACCACCACCACCACCATCACCACCAGCAGCTGCTACAACAACAACAGCATAATTCCCGTGATCCGGTTGGACCGGGGTCCGGTCAGGCCCCATCTGGTGGCAGCCATGGTCCCTTCATGGGCTCCATTTCCATGCACTCAAGAAATTTGCTGCCTCCTTCTTCTTCTTCCGACCCTCCTCCTTCCACCCCTGTTTCTACTTCCACTACCACTTCTTCTTCTACTTCTACTGCTTTAACCACCACCACGGCCGCCGGAGCTGCGGCCGCGGCCAATAGTACTAAACCGGCTAAGAAACCGTCCAAAGACCGGCATACTAAGGTGGATGGAAGAGGGCGGCGTATTCGTATGCCGGCGTTATGTGCGGCTCGGGTTTTTCAGCTTACTAGGGAATTGGGTCATAAGTCCGATGGTGAAACAATTGAGTGGCTGTTACATCAAGCTGAACCTGCGATTATAGCTGCGACGGGAACGGGTACGATTCCGGCGAATTTCTCGACACTGAATGTGTCGTTGAGGAGCAGCGGCACCACCATTTCAGCTCCGCCGTCGAAGTCGGCTCCCCTGTTTCTGCACGGCGGGAATGCCGCCGCCATGCTCGGGTTCCACCACCAGTTCTCCGCCGCGGGTTTCGGGCAAGACCCGGAAGAGAATTACATGAAGAAAAGGTATAGGGAAGACAATACAGGAGCGACGTCGCCTCCGCCGCCGGCTAAGCAAGAAAGAACCGGAATCCAGGATCACGAAGCGGGCGGGGAGCAGAAACCCGGGTCGGGTCAGACATCCAGCTTCCTCCCAGCTCAAACCATGTGGGCCGTGGCTCCAGCTGCCCCGAGTGTGGGAAATACTTTCTGGATGCTTCCAGTTGGCGGCGGAGCAACCACCGCAGGCGGCGGAGCTATGGCGGTAGGCGGCGGCGGCGGTAATCAGCAGGAGGTATGGCAGTATAAGGCACCAACTGCTATGCAAAGAATAGGAGGGTATGATTTCTCCGGGGCGGGTCGGTTCACTCCGGTCCAACTCGGGTCAATGGTGCTGCAACAATCTCAGCCGGTTCAGCAGTTGGGCTTAGAGACTAATATGGGAATGTTGGCTTCCATGAACGCCTACAGCGGTGGTGGAGGCGGCGGAGGTGGCGGTGGTGGGAGTAGGGTTGACTTGGGTATGAATTTGGAGCAACATCACCATCATCAAAATCAACCACAAAGAAGTGATAGTGGTGATGAAAATCCCAAAGATTCCCAATAATTTCATCTTTCAATCATGATGATGATATCAATTTCTTTTTTTTTGGGTGATTTTTCTTTTTCTTTTTTTCTCTCTCATCTTTTATTATTTTTCAGTTGAATGATTGTAGAATTTAGTGTCATTAGGTGAGGATTGTGTTCATTGTACATTGTCTTTTTTTGTTTTTTTTTTCCTATTTGATTGTGAGAGGAAAAAAAAAAAAAGGTATGAATTTGAACTTTGAAATTGCAAAAAAATAAAAAATAAAATTGTGCAATTCTTTTGATGGCTCTCTTCGAGCTGATTTGGTGTGCTTTTTTGGGAGGAAGCAAGAAGAAAGAAAGTGTTGGTTTTTTGAATTGGCAAAATAAATGAAATTCTGCTTGAACTCGGCCAAACAAAGCATTGTTTTGTTGGTTTGGTTAGCTTTGCATTCAGTTTAGGAGTAATTAGTATAGATTCCACCTTGAAGTGTTAAGTGAAGTCATTTGGCCACTTCCTTTGTTTTTCTTTTCCTTTTTATTATTTTCAAAAAAGGCGAAAAAAAAAAACATTTGTCCATAATGTAGATTTGATTGTTGATTGGTAATGGTTGCAGTGGATTTTGGTTTATCTGCTCATTTCTTTTTCCCTTGTATTTTCATTTTTATTCCTTTTAAGTTGCTTTACTATTCCTTCTGTCCTAAAATTATTGTCCAGTTTGAAATTTCACTTTTAGTACAATTTGAGCTAAAAATAAAAATTCAAACTGAAGTTTTGAACTATATTTTGTGTTGGAATTGTATACTAATTGCCATTGACAAAATTGAATTCCACCTGCCTTTGACCTAAACTAAAAAATGTTTATTCTCCTCCTTCTATGCACATTTCCTTTATAATTATGCACGAATTTCGATTTTTTGTTGTATTATTTTGAATAAAACATTCATCTTGTTTCAGACAATTACCTTATCCATCTACTAGCTCCATTCCTGTTTATAAGAGGTTTAGACATACTTTCTTCAATCTTGTTATAAGAAATTTTACATTTCCAAAAAAATATTTATTTACTTTTTTTTTTTCCCTTTCTTTATCCTCACAACTAACCAACTTAAATATTAATTCAACTACTTCATTAATGTTATCAAGGACAATTCCGAAAATTCACAATAATTTTGAGGTATGTTAAAAAGAAATGGAGGTAGTAATATTTATCCGATTAAATAAATTTCAATTTTTGGTTCAAATATGATTATTTATGAATTCTAATGTTAACCCATGTAGTGTCGAAACAAGATGAGTATATGTTTCATGGAAATGGACTTTAATCTTCATATGAATGCTCATTAAGAAACTCAAGTAGCTTATAATCTTGAGAATAAGTGACAATCATATATTCATATGCCCAAAAATTTGCAAAAAAAGTACATTCTCGACTTTAAGCTTTGATAAGGTAAGATCAAGTTGTATGAGACCAAAAGAATATGCTGTCTCTTGTCGCCCACCAAAAAAGAATTATTGACAACTTTATTCATACAAACAAAAATATTTTCAATAAATATCTTCTCTCTTTTTAATAATGCCATTTTGTGTTTTTATTGTGAGTTCCAGACAGAACCATTTTTGTAGAAAGAAGTTTTTTTCACCTTTCAATTTGGAAATTTGTCACTATTAATCTCTTTTTTTGCTTGAAAAAGACATTTTAGTCTTTTTTTTAAAAATAGCATTTATTAGTGCGTAATATATATATATATATAAACTATTATCACGAAAATAAAGTCTAGAGATAAAAAGAATAACACTATTACAGACGCCTCCTCAATAATTCACATTCAACTTTAAGGATACTTCAAATGTTCAATTATCATTATTCTCCAGTCTCCATCTATCATACTCTTTCTTTAAATATAACTTGCCTATAAGAACAAGAAGGTATATAAACTAAAGTTATTCATTTATTGGACACTTGGACCTTTGAATTTACACTTTATTTTTTCTCTTAAATCCTCCTTTTGCATTTATAGCTGACTTTTCAGTATTTGGAAAAATATCAAATATTGTCAGACCAAAACAATTGATTATTGATACTTCCAATAAACCTTCAAATTATTTGTGTCATACCATTGATGATGATGTGATCCGCGTGTGGAAATAAATTTTCTTGTGTAACAGTGAGGGAAAAAATAAGTATGCTACAAGAAGTAATGATTACATTAATGCTACACTACTAATGTCCACAATTAATATATATTATTCTATTTACAATGAAAAATATATAATTATGTAATATTTAGCATTAATGATATAGGTGATTCATTTCCCACAGTTTGATCCCTTACTTCTTGTATAAATAAGAAGCTCATTCATGCTTCAAAATACATCTGAATACAAGTGTCTTATCTCACTCTACTCTCTTGTCTCTCCTCTTTATTCTTATGCTTAGTTTAATATTAGTAGTCTAGTATTAATTTTATGACACGTTATCAGCACGGGATTCTAACCAAAGAGCTTCTACCACCACCTGAAGTTGGTGTGTATTGATTCTGAAGGCCTGAAGTCTCAATGAATATTTTAATTCTACCACCGCCTGAAGTTGGTGCGTATTAATTCGGAAGGCTTGAAGCCTCAATGAATATTTTAAAAGGCTTTTGTGATCTAAAGCGCCTGAAGCGCTGTGACCTCAAAAAATTTTCTGGTGGACGAGTTTCTAGCCACACTGAGACGGTTCATCATGGAGTTCAATTTAATGACTCAAGATGATGATGTTGGGAGAAAAGGTAAATCATAAAGCATACATATTTGGTTTGGATATAAAGAGAAATATTTCTTATTAAATTCTATTTATTCATATCACACATATAACAATCACGATGTAATTCTTAAGATATATATATGATTGTTGATAATGTGAATGTATAAAACTTATATAAGTTGTATGTAATTGTGATATTATTCATGTGTGCAAGAAAAAAAAATTCTTTAAAGAATTAATTTCTTTGATATTTAGATTGCAATGAAAGCACTTTGTTTTATCATCATGCGTTTATTGACATTAGTAAAAAGGAATTAATCTCGTTCTCATATTTTCTTTGTACTTTTATATTTTACTTTGCTCATAGTAATACTGATATTTAGTAATGAAAGTAAATATATTGCCAGTAGCAATATGTAAATGCATCAAAATTACTCTTAAAGTAGCAATGTTGTGATAACATATTTAGCATATTAAAATGCTCCAGTAGTAGCATTATAGCGAAATATTTGATGAAATCTTATGAATTGATTTCCTTCTATTCTCCGAAGTGAGTGGGCAGTAAATTATTTTAAGGCAAATTGTAGACATTAAATCTACAATAATTATGTATATATACAATTCTTCACCTGAAGTTAGAGAGTTAATTCGAATACATGTTCAATTTAGACATAGTCCATTTCTTGAAGTAAATGTGACGATCATGCAATAATAATAGTTAACAAATACACTATTAACCACCTGAAGTTGAAAAAATAGTGAAAACACTACTATCAATCTGAAGTTGAAAAATAGTATATTGCAAATGCTATCGTTGTGGCATAAAATCATTGGGTTCACATGTTCTGCATACTTATAATTATCTTATTGATATCTTCAATATATTATTAAAAGTAGGCGAATTCATTAGTCCTGTCGACAATGAATTAACAAATCATAATTTGATCTTTGTCAAAACGCCCTGAAGGTGATTTAAAAATTTAGAGATGAAAATGTTCAATATGTCAAACACCATAACGGTGTTGTGATCTTTTGGCCACCATAGCTATGATATTATTTAATTGACATTTTCTATCTACATGTTTCGAAGAAAATAAGGTCTAAATTTGTTAATGGCAAAAGTATGCCTGACACATAGTACAACTAATATTACCTCTCTGAGTATTATGAAATTTAATAATCACCCTGAATGGGATGCTAGTCAATGATAAACACGAAATCAATCAAATACTCCAGTAGAGCATATGACATTGAATTATTTTGTAAAGATAGGTAAAAAAAAAATTCCGTAGAGTATAATTACTCCGGAGAGTGAAAACAAATAAATGGTTTTGAAGAGAAAATATAATGAATTCATCATTGCCTCTGGAAGAGCAATAGTAAACAAACTTTGCTCCTAAAAGAGTAAGAGAATGTTAGAAGAAGAAAATGCATTGAGATACGTTATATTCTCCAAGGTATCAAAGAAGGATATAAATTGCTTTACCAACTCAACTATTTTGAATTTGAAAATCTATTGTTGTCTCCAACAGAGCAGCGACACACTTTACTTTTTAAAAGAGCAAGAACACTATGGTAGAATAAAAATAACTGAATAACAAATATTCTATTAGAGTAAACACTCATGTGGAAATTATTCTAGTATAGTTGAATAATTAATTCACAGTTTTCTCCAGAAGAGAAATAGTAAAATTTGGCATAACTACTTAAGCCATTATAGTTTCAAGACGAAACAAGAAAGTTTATATGCTTTAAATCTGGAGAACTAAGAGTTTCTTCCAACAAGTTAGAATATCAATCGAGATGTTGATGAGATAACCACATATATGATTCTCGTTAACTTGCAACCTGAAGTTTACAGAAACTTAATTATGGAGTTAATTTAGTAATTTGGCGATTTTTATGTTATGCTCTTACGAGAATTTTCATTTGACAGTTGTAGTGAGTATATGACTTAATACCAGAATGGTAGAAGTTGAACATTGAGTGACTATAAGAATAATAATGAAACGGTTTTGTAGAATCGTTTATTGCACGTGTTCAATTAAGTAATTAACTTATGTATAATTGAGGAAGTAATGAAACACAAAAGGCACTAATTATATGCATAAGACTAAACAGGTCATTATTAGATATTCTCCGCAACATTGATTTTCGATCAGAAACCATACATGTCCATCTTTAAATATTAGATGTGCAGTTTATATATTATAATTATTTCATCACAATACACACAATGAAGGAGCCTCCAGGAGAGGTCAGAAAAATATGTTGAATATTGAATCTCCAATATTTGAGATTATTGATGTTGGATTAATTACTCGATAGACTGATCGTATTTGTTTGACGAGTTAGTTACTCTCAAAAGGGAGATTATTAACTGTTTGGTTGGTTAATCGTCATTTTAGCGAGTTAGTTATCCTAACATCAGGAGGGAGAAGTTAAAACGGCCTATTTATAATATCAGGTGGACAATATAATTATCTCATTATGATCCTCAATGATATAAACCTGAAGTTCAAGAGATAATGTTTAAGACTAGATGTTTACCAGACCGAATATATAAATATATCTTATATAAAAGGCTGTTAAAACTTAGAATTTGATAATGTGTCCCTGAAGGACTAACTACCACTATTTGTTAGTTGAATGTTCATTTGATGAGTGGTAGAACCATCGATTCCAAATGATAAAAATTCTCGTAAATGACAAGGTTTAAATCTATAGAGATGGCAAATACGAGTGATTATAATACATAAGAATTTTGAACTGGAATAGTTTCCCATTATGGTGAATTAACTTCCAGAAGAAGTATATGAATACTTAGGAAACTTAATGATTGGGAGATCTCATTACCAAAAAACATGGAATCTATCAGCAATAAAATGTGGACATGAAATTTCTTATGCAGCAGCAGTAAAATAAATGAAAATAAAGATCATGAAATGAAAGCCTGTTGTAGATGCAGACATTAAATTTATTGGCCACAAAAAATGAGAAGACGCAATACACAATTGACGATGTGTACTTAGAATTGAAATTGCTTGCGCACTAGAAGTTTGGCAAGTAATATACCGGCTAGATTTTGGTGGGTGATTGTGCAAAAGATTATCGAGCAACCTTTTTTGCACAAGTTTTTTCCAAAGTCCGGTTTATCTTGTGGTTGATGAAAATGAAAATCTTCCGTTATTTGCTAATCTGGTAGCAAATGAAGATAAGAAGTGCGTCTCTTGAATATAGTGATCACTTAATACGTGATACTTGATATTTAATAATGACATTTATATGAAATTTCCAAAAGATTAAAAAGGGGACATGATTCCCAATTCTCGTGAAATTAGTTCAAAAGACTTGCCAAGTTATAGCGTCTTCATGTATATAGATATTTAGATTCATATTTTTTAATATAATAGATATGCTATATTTGTTTTTATCTAGATATGTTATGTTTGTTTGTAACATGATTTTCTATCTCTTTTTATGATCATATTTGAATGATAGGATGATAACTAATACTAGAGTGAGTATTCATAAGCCATATATGCATTTACAAGTTTGTTAGCATCGAACTCTTGTAGAGTTTCAAAAGACTGAATATTATTGAAACTTATCATGAAGTTCGAATAGGCTGAATATAAATAAAACTCCTGAAGAGTTATATCATAGTTATGAACACTTCTATGGAAGTGCAAAAGGTTGCTACTTGCTTCAAGCAAGGATAATAAAAGTTCGTGAATAGAATCTTGGTCTAAATAGTTTGACGTTTGTATATTTAATACCCGTTGAGCGCACTTGATTAAAATCTTGATGTGTGTATAGATTCTTCTTCTTGACAAGACTTTGATGTTATATATGGATACCTTCAAGGTATGATAGTCGTGCATCTCCATAATTATAAAATACTCAAAATTATATAGGTGTATGAAGACAACCGTCTACATGAGAAGTTGAAGTAATCTGTCCATTATTGACTTAAACAATCATGAATTTGGTCAATAGCTTGGCATGTAACGAGAAGATTACAAGTGGCGTACTTAACAGGGGGAGTAACCCACGCTATATTCTTTTTCCCTTGATCGAGATTTTGTCCCAATGGGTTTTCCTGACAAGGTTTTTAACGAGGCAGTGTCACATTCGGAAATGTACACTTTTTCCTTCACTAGGGTTTTATCGCAAAGGGTTTTTCCTAGTAAGGTTTTAACGAGACATTATTCCACAAAGATGAACATTCAAATGAGGAGTGTTATGAAATATTTGATTTGATTTGATTGAATGTCCACAATTAGTATATATTATTCTATTCACAATGAAGAAGATATGATTATGTAATATTTAACATTAATGATAAGTGATTCATTACCCACAATTTGATCACTTACTTCTTGTATAAATAAAGAGCTCATTCATATTTCAAAATACGTCTGAATACAAGTCTCTTATTTCTCTCTACTCTCTTATCTCTCCTCTTTGTTCTTATGCTTAGTTTTATATTAGTAGTCTGGTATTAATTTTATAACACTTTTACATTTATAGTTGATTTTTCATTATTTGAAAAAATATCAATATTGTCAGACCAAAACAATTGATTATTGATACTTCCAATAAATCTTCAAATTATTTGTGTCATACCATTGATGATGATGTGATCCGCGTGTGGAAATTTTCTTGTGTAACAGTGAGGGAAAAAGAAAGTATCTTATAAGAAGTAATGATTACATTCATTTTTTTAAATTTATATATTATTCCTTTTGAGTCATTTCTTTAATGATTTTATTATTATTAAACGTATAGATGTCAGACCAAAATGACTAGTTGTATGATTTAAGAAAATAATAATCCTCCAACAAGAATTGTTCAAATTACAAATAGAAAATTATACTAAAATTAAAATAATTCACAATTTCAATGTGAAATATTTTTATGAGACATAAGGAACAATGATTAATACTTCTTAATATTTCATGAAATATGTGTACAATAAAACTTCTATAAATTAATAGTGTTAGAACCACCAAAATTGATTAATTTAGAGAATTATTAAATAATCGATAAATTAATAAATCAATAATTTAAAAAAAAATTTATGAGAAAGAAAGAACGCTCACTAAATTAATTAACTTAGTACTGTCTTTATATCCAAATCAATCAAGTATTAAAATTTTTTCTGAATTCTAAAACTCTATACGTAGTTCATATTATTATCAAGGACTAAAAAACAAGTATCAATAGTTCATATTTTACTAAATATTCATAGTTATTATTATTATTTTTTGCATTTATGATAATTATTAATTTATAGTATTGTCGGGACTTATAGATATATAAGGAATTTTTTAAAATATTATTATCTTATAATTTTATCGATTTTACTTACATTTTGTACTGGTTTCAAATTGGGACCGAAGAAAATTATTAATTGCTGTAATTTATTAATTTACCGATGTTATACTGTATATAAAAGTTAATTGGGTAGGAATCAGCTAAATACTAGTCAAAATTTTAGGTTACTTTTGGCAAGCTAAACTAGTAATTAATTATTAGAATAAAAATCGGCACTTTCTTTCAAAAAAAAAAAAGGACGAAAATAATGATAGATTTTTACCCATTATCATAGAAAATGTGCACCACAAAAGTGCAGTACAAAATCTTTGCTTGATTCTTTAACTAAATTGACCAAACACTCCCTCGGTTGTATCAACGTGAAAAAGGCAAAAACAGCAGTGGCAAAAAAAAAAAAGAAGAAGAAAAAGAAAAACATTTCTATTGTTCTTTGTTCTTTACAGGAGATCCAAAAGCTCACGAAACAGTTGATCGAACAGTAAATTCAAATAATTTAATTGAACATTCCAGATGCAAGGAGTACAAATTGTTTTTTCAACCAACCGTGATTCAAAAGTCTAGGAAACAAGAGTCCACCGGCTAAAGGAAATAGTGGTGTTTTTTGATCAATCAGGCCCAGGGGCCAGGGGAAACATATTTTGCCCTTTTCTTTTTTTTTGTATTTTGGGGTTTCTTTTTTGGCCCACTTGGAAAATTTTGTAATCTGCCAATGATTAATAACTACAATAACTTTTATATGGCTGAAAAATTAGTATGATCGAGACCTAGATTTCATAAGAAGCGTATAATTCTGATACTTTGAACCATTGAGAATTATGAACACATATCTTGTAATAATTCTCTAATAATGGATGAGAAAGATGATCTGTCACATTGCACCATTGAACAAAAGCCCTAGATTTGCCAAAAAGAATCGTAATTCAGGAGTCTCGACTTGCAAGCAAAATCACAGTTTAGGTTCTTGTTTTGCCGCATGCTAATTGGAAAGAAACATGAATGTGGAGACTCAGGAGCAATAATCAAAGCATATTCCTGTTCGTGAATGATGAAACACAACTATTGTTGGAGAAAATGCCATCCGAAAACACAACTAGGAAATTCACCTTATAAGATTACCTAACAAAATGTCCCAAAACACAAGCGTCCATAAGTTGTATCAAAAGAACAATAGACCCAAAAGGTATGGACATAGGGAAGAAACAGGCATAAAAGCTCAAAGTTTGCCGAAGTGACTGATTACTGTCGACGGCGCTAAGGAATCCCAAGGTAGTTTCTGTTATTTGCCATAAATCTTAAAGGGGGGAAAAAAATGAGATCACAAGATTTAACCAGAAGCTGTCTTCTTTTGCTGGAAAATCACAGCATAAACTGGGACCGCGACACCAATGGTGAATGCTGTGAGAACTCCAAGACTCATTGTCAGCTTCTGGTTCTTCATTCTGTCCAAGTTGTACATGTGTTTAGCATGAAGGTAGTAAGGCTCGTCGTGACCGTGAGCGTGTCCTCCGCCCATTCTCTTGACAGTAGTTGAGTGGATCCCTCTGTTCACTGTTATTGAAGTGATCGTCATTCCTTTGATGCATAAAGAATATAACTTGGAAATTGGAAAAGACAGTATGAGAGTTAAAGCTACAAGGATTGCCCAAATTAAGTGCGCACATTGTAAAGTCTTCTACCAACCACTCTTTATAGCAAGTTTCAATAAGAAGCGCATCAATCAGTGCTTACTGATGACCACGATATAGTGCAGACAATTTTAGTGTTTTATGAAGACAAATAGTACAGGCCAATCATATCTGATCAGTCTTCAAATATGAAATCCAAACGACAGGCACAAAATGAGATCAAAAGGAAGATTAAAGTTATGGGGAAACAGAACAGGGGAATAATGAAGGAGGTTGTAATCAACACTCCCTTGATCCTCAGTAAAATAAAACAAGATTATTATTGAAATCCAAAACACAGGCACGAAATGGAGGACAATGAGAGCTGCGCGAAAACAGAAAAGGGGAAGAATGAAAGAGGTTAAATCAACATTCCCTTGAGCCTCACATACTTCAAAGAAAACAAGATTATTATTGAAATCCAAAACACAGGCACGAAATGGAGGACAATGAGAGCTGCGCGAAAACAGAAAAGGGGAAGAATGAAAGAGGTTAAATCAACATTCCCTTGAGCCTCACATACTTCAAAGATACCCCCCACCCCCCAAAAAAAAACCCCATCAACATACTGGACTTAAGGAATAAACATTATATCTACTCATCGACTTATAAACTTTGCCTACTGCAAAGTAGAAGGAAATAGAGAGATGTCACCTAAGCATAATTATTGACACTCATTCAAAGAGAAAAAGATGCAAGAAGAAAATTAGGAAGATTCTTGGAAATAATAAGCATTATAACTGCTCTTCCAAATACATATGAAAGCGTTCAGCATACAGCACAGAAACAATTTTCGCATGTAGACTGTATGCACTACAAGAGAAATCACAAAAACAGAATGGCAGCCTATTCTAAACCTGGAGCACAAACGGGTACAAAACTTTTCAAATGGTCCGACACTACTAGACAAGAAAGTCTAACATTAACTTCCAGAGAAAACTCGTAACCTAGACATGACTTGATAAACCAATAAGCCTAAATTTGAGTCTCAACATATGTTTAGAATCTCAACTGCACCATCGGAACAGGCACAACGGCACAACGACATGTTACGAAAGAAAGGACCCAAAATCTACTTATGCATAAACAAGCACAAGAAAGATACAAAAGCAAGAGCAATTTTTCCCTGTTACTAATTGTAGGTAGCTTACAGCACAACTTGAAAATTGCACTACCATGTAATACAGACGCATAGCTTAAAATTCATAAGAGAGTAAGAGACTGTTTCAAGAACACAAAGGTAAACCAAAACCAACAAGTTCCATGCTTTCATTTTACAGCTAATTTTAAACAAAACCTGGAAATTAATTCAATTATAATAACAGCTTTCTGTTTCATATAGGGCAATTCCATCACTTTAGCTGCACAACTAAGCAGCAAAGCGGCCATGGAGTCCCTGCATAAATGCTCAATTTCCGCCCATCGCATAAAATGCGCCACGATTATTAACCTCTCCCGTGGAATACCACGCCACCCCTTATTTCACGAGGGAAGCGCTCGGCCTAAGGCGTCGAATCATTTGCAATATCAATTTAAACAACTAGACAAGTCTCTCTCCCAATAACTCCAGTTAAACCATTCTTCCTTTAAACCAATTTCAAGAAGTCATGTTTCCAACGTTCAGCAAAATGTCGGGCAATCCCCTCGCTACGGCTGCATAACTAAGGCAGAAAAGCAGCCTTGGGGTCCCTTGATGAACGTTCAATTTTTGACCATCGCATAACCTCTCACGTGGAACACCACTCCCCCCTGTTCTAAGAGGAAAGGGCTCAGCCTAAAGCGAAACAGCTGGGTTTTTTCTCTCTTTAAATTTCATAATCATTCACTCCATCCCTTAACCTATTGCATCAATGTTCCACAAAGAGGAAAGAAAACAAAGATATAACGTTTCATTCTATCAAACCTTTGTGCAGATTCATCAAATGGGAAAAGAAAAGCCCCCCAAGTGCTTACACCAATAACAAATTAGACACAAAATTAACACTTCTTACTAGACATGCCAACCCATTAATCCACTTTTGAGGAGCTCATTTCACCCAAAATTCAACGGAGGGAAACAATCGAAAAAAAGATTTCCTCTTCTCATTTCTCTTCGGGGCATACACCTCCGCATCGACAAATATGTGGGATTAACAAAACCCAGACCAGAAACAGAAACCCATTAAACAGATCTGAAAAAAACGATTTAAATGACCCAGGAAATACATCGAAACGAAGAATTGTTACATATCATCAGGTTAGGGGTTTATCTTTATTTCTTTATGAAGTATAACAAACGAAAAAATTGAGCCTACCCGACTTAGAGAGAACTGATTCAGTAGACGCGAGAAGCTTGGCGCATGATCTTACTCCACTATTCAACGCCATCTTCAACAAAATGGTTGCTACGAGCAGGAGACGATAAGCCGAAGACAAGTTTATTAGATGGAAGAAGACTGAAATTTGGGGAAAATGGCCAGGGTTTTCCTTATAAAAATGACGACCTTTTAGAAGCGTGGTTTCTACAATCCCACATCGGGAGCAGGGGAGAAAGGATTGACCGAAATGGATATAAATAGGTAGAACGTAAATTATTATTTTTTCCTCCTCAGCCTGTCCTGTCGGGGTTGCTGATCGACGGGCTAATGAACGCTAAGTGATGGGTCGTCGTGCCAACACCCACGTAACGAACACACAGTGAATTTAGGCGAGCGAGCCTGCCCTACTTTGGTTTGGGCTCGCCCGTCAATTTTGGAAAGCCCACAACTAAATTTGTGGGCTCCAACCCAACTTATCAAACAAACCAAAAGGAAATTAAAGAGGTCAATTTAAATCTGAAAATTGTGAATGATTCTCCTGAACTATAGTGTCTTATCAATGTTCCGAGACTTCGTTTTTTTTTTTGATGACAAACATAAAAAGGATATTAATGTTCCGAGACTTTTATATCCTCTCAGTCTATCACGCTTATTTTTTCCTTGAATGCATGTGATTTTCGTATTTTTTGCTCTCATTTTTAATCCTAAAGCCAGGTGAAATGTCACTGTAACATTGTCTGTATTTGTGTTTCTTCAGGCAAAGGGAGATTGATCCAGAATTTCCAAGAATACATATCTAGCACAAGAAGCTCTTTGTTATTACTGGAATAATGGGGAATAGAAGAAAGAAAACAGCAATTCTTAGTGTTACGGATTTGTTGTCCCAAACTGGGAAGTAATATCGATTCAGGATCATGGAGACTTGAAAAAGGGATTCTGCCAGAGGGCATATTAAGGTCACTCAACTCTACGGATTTGATCAAATGATCCTTCTTACACACCAGGGCTCTACCATTTTGGTTTTGTAAGCGTCTTTCTTTCCAGAAAATACTGGTAGGATTTTTTGTCCCGTCAGAAATGAGTTTTGGCGCAGTGTAGAAAAACATACAAGTTGGACACTTTCGATTTTGTGCGCATAAATGGCTGACTTTTCCCCTCTTATGTGTAGTTCATTATAATCATTTTTTTTTTATATATACTGTATAAATCCCAAAGAGTCATTCTAATTTCACCACCTTGAGGACCCTTCAGCTTTACGCACGCCCCTGCAGCCTTTCCCTTCTCTGTCTGTCTAGCTCCTTCACCGTTTGCCAGTGTTCCAACGACAAACAGGTTTTCCCAAGACAAGTCAGATTTAGGATAAAGCTTTCCTACAACTTGAGTATCTACCCTGGCATGAACCTACAAATAAAACCATCATTACTCATTGCGGCCAGTAATGTTTAACTGGAACAATAATGATAGATTTAACCATTTTAACAATTATAACTTGGTCAGAGTAGAAGTACCCGTGATAGAAGGAGTAACAACATGAACTGAGCGGCCAATCCATCATTCCCAAGTACAACTGTGAGATGACTCAACAGTGTCTCTCTTATTCCTTTGACGATGTGGGATTTAAACTGCATAAACAGCATAAAAAGCTTGGTGACAAATAGGTATAGAACCAAAAACACAAAGCTTATCATATTTTAGGGAGATGAAGGGCTACGCTAATACGCGGAACATGGCATCGTAAAATAACTTTTTCCAACAGTAAAACCATAAAACTAAAACCTATTTGTCTCTCCTCCAATGTAGGGGAACTCGCAATAAAGTCACCAGCTGCAAGTTTCCTGTAACTAAGACAATGGATGCGAGGAACCTGCAAAAACCAAATTGTAGGATTATAATCCATAAACAGCTTAGTGTTGAAGACTATCAAAATTTTGCTCCTAATTATAGGAAATCTTAAGGTATTAATTAGTTACACCTAATGGCTAGTTACCAAGAACTTCAATGATATGATTTAAGCTTTTGCAGAACCTTCCATAGAGTAAATTATTATTGGCTTCCCAACAGTTGTGATACAAATTATTGTATTTCTTTTCATTTCTAGGTTCATGGGGAGTCTACTAATGTTCAGTAAGAGCAGCACACTTGATTGAACTCTGTTCAATAAGGTTAGTTGTTAATTATCATCAGTCAAGTTTGAACTGAAATTTCTGTCTTACACTAGTGTCAAGGACTTAGTTAAGAATGTGGGTAAATTGCTTAACACATAGAATGAGATAGTTCTCCCACTTGCAGATTACATGCTACTAGGTCCTAGCAAATTCAAGAAAGGAAAAAATAAAGCTGACAGGTAAAACTTGGCATGAAGTAGATCAAGACCTTGACAAGGGGGAGATGAGTCATGTCCTCATCAATCTCAGCTTTTGCAAGCTCAGATTCAAAACTGAGGATACCTCAGATTTATCTCCGACTTGGGAGAATCATATATCTGTATGATAGAAGCAAATATATTTTAGTATAGATTAGTATAGGTCAAACTAGTCGGAAGCATTCATAAACATACTCGTCATTATGCTGAAAAATTACATTAGATAAAATCGGATTAAAATGAATAGAAACAAGAAATAGGTAGTGGAAAGTACATGTGTTTCAACGTTGTCCATGGAGACTTCATCCTCCCTCTGGCGCTTCTGCTGCCTAGGAGAAGATATGTAATTTGCAAGTGGATTCGTTTGAGTTCCCCAGTACTCCTCCATCCATCCATTCTGTCCAGGAACCTTGTAGGAAAAATGCTCAGATTATGCATTATCTGTTGAGTATTCCACATCAGTTGTGGGACAGACTTGATATCAATATATAAGACTATGGACTACTCAATTGGTGTTGAGGTGGAACCCGATGGGCTTCTATATTATCCAAAAGGTACAAAAGAAAATGGATAAACTGGGCCAATGAGATAGCAAGAACTCACTGTAACACAATAGAATAGACTGCGTTCCCATACTCGAGTCCTCGGATGACGGTTCCATGATTATATTAGAAGATAAAATGAACTGATTCTTTGTTTGGATATTGAGAATGAGGAGTTTGGAATCATTGCCCCTCCTCCGGGTTGGCCAACAGATCATCCTCGGAGTATGATTGGTGATGATTGGATCAATTTGGTGGGTATCAAAGATACATTATGCGTGGCAGATGTGAGCATCATGGTGAAAACCTCTGTTTTGGAACTAACTATGGGCTCTCAGGGCAGAGGCAATGAAGAAAGATGATGATGCACGGATTTGGGTAAAGGAATACTGCATCAGATGGGACTTGCCATTTCCAAACACCCTCAAATCTATATCGTATCCGCCATAAATCAGTCTAGCGACGGAGACATAGTGGTGGTTTCACCACTTCCTGAAGAGTCTTACATCTTCAATGTGGTGGAGAAAGGATGTCTAGTGAAGAACATCAGTGGGGTTTCGGACTATGTGGTTTGGTCAGTTGGGTTTTTGTTGGGAAAGCTTCTTTGAGCCTTGATCAAGATCATTAGAGACTTTTTAATAAATTTGTTTTGTGCATTCTTCTCATTGTTGAAGAAGTGATGGATTTACATACATATAGAATATGTTTTTGCTAGCACCAATGAAGGAGCTCAAATGGGATGGATCCAAATAAATACTGTAGCTTTTTAGCACTATTTTGACACTTTTTTCAGGAAGTTTACTCCAATAGATTTAGATGTGATGGGAGATTTTATATTGTCTATATATATATATTTAAGCTGTTGAGAGACAACAAAGTTTGATATAAGGATTGTACTATTCTGCATTTAAGCTGAGAGTAAACCTTCAAATGCGTTTAATATGAAAGGTTTCGTTCAATTCTGAATTTTCTCTCCAGAATCTCTTTCGGGAAAATTGGCTCTTAAATCTAAAAATATGCCTAGTATTTTCTTTTTCAGAATTCTTTTTTTTTTTTTTATAGATTTGGTGGAAAAAAAACTTACCTGTTCTATTGGATCGCCTCTTGTTACTCTCAATTGCTCTGTATCTGAGTTTGAAGTTGTTTAAGTTTCAAAGGATTTCGAATTTCTAAATTTAGAGGGATTATGTTTGAACGGTTGTCAGTAATTTGATAGACAGTTTGAAGTTGTTTAAGTTTCAAAAGATTTCGAATTTCCAAGTTTAGAAGGGTAATGTTTGAACGGTTGTGAGTAATTTGATAGACGTAATTTGATAGACGGTGAAAAACAATTAACAATATATAGTGCAATGTTGGTGAGAATTTTCGATTATAAAAGGAGCCTCCTTTCGTTTTCATACTGTTTTTCCTTCCCCTGGGACTTAAATTGAAGCAAAACATAAAAACAATCAAATTTTGCTAGGTTATTTAATTAAAAGATAATGCCCCAATTATGCTACTTAATGAAACATTGGAGACAATAATAAATAATTTGCAATTTTGGGAAAAGAAATTACAAAACTCACATTTGCCCGCCACTAGAGCCGTCCCTCTCAATTCCATTTACAATTTCCCCCCAAACCATTACCAAACCATAGAGAGAAACACGCACAACACCAAATTACACACACTCACTCTCACACTCTCCAATCCATTCCATGGCTTCCTTTCATGAAGACGACGATGTAAGTCTCCATCTTCACTTTCATGAATATTATTATTATTAGTATCATTAGCTTATTTACTTTTTCAGTTCTTTTTTATAATCCGGTCTTTACTACCTTCCTTCTTCAGGAAGGATTTGATTGGGAAGCAGCGGTGAGGGAAATCGATGTGGCTTGTGCTCAAAACGCCGCCGATTCCGTCAATAACTCCACCGCCAATCGTGCTTCTACGTCAAATGACGCCGATTTCCGAGAAACCCATCAACCATTTGTGGCTGGAAAGGGCGATTCTTTTCCTTCTTCGTCTAAGCAGTCGACCCTTGATAGGTTTATTACTGGGGCCGGTTCGAATTCGAATAGAACCCAGAGAGAAAAAGAAGGAAATTGGGGAAATGGGTTTCGGGAAAATGGAAATAATCATTATCATGGTATTGGTAAAGGGGTAGATGAGGGTGGAGATGCTGAAGGGAGAGCTAGTTTTGTTAAGATTGATCTTGAGGCTGCTAAAACATGGATATACCCAGGTAATCTTGTTTCAGGGATTTCGGCTTCCGCATACATTTCTTTGTTACTTTTTATTTCCGGGTTTATCTTTGATACCAAGAGAATTTGTGTCATTAAAGAATGCCTTCAAGTTTTACTCTTGGCTTATATATATCCAGGAAATGTTATGTTCAAATGACCAATTGGGTCCAAGGTTTATGTTAGAAAGAGTTCAATATATTGGTTTGATTTTTGAACGTGTTAGAAATTGTAATGTAGCTATTGTTGAGTTATCAATCTATGCATCCCCACAACCCCCAACCACCCCCTCCTTTTTTTCCTCTTCTTTTTCTCCCTCTCATTTTGCATTGTTAGATTTGATTTAATCTCTACAGGATTTGTCTTTTCAGTTGAAAGTGGCTTTTTTTTTTTTTTCTTTTTTTGGTGAAAAACTGGAAGTATTGTGCTGCTTTGTAGCCTGTTTAGCTATTGGCTTCAATGTTTAACCACCCAAATGGCTTCTCTTCAATAAATTGTTTCATAGGTTTGTATGTGTCAAGCTTAGTACTTGATACTTACTTTTCGTTGTAATTTGATTGCAGTTAATATTCCTCGGCGCGACTATCAATTTAATATCACACGCACTGCTTTGTTTTCAAATACCTTGGTGGCATTACCTACAGGACTTGGAAAAACTCTAATTGCTGCTGTTGTAATGTACAACTACTTCAGATGGTTTCCAGAAGGTTGCAAAATGTTGATTCGGCGTGTAGAAGTTTATTCCCATGAAAACAAATGATCTAACTTTTTCATCATCCAGGGTTTTGCTTTCTTTCTTATGATTGGATATGCAGTTTTACCTCGGTGAAGTTTTCTATGAATCTTGTCAATATATGCATCTTTGATAAAAAAGGGTGACAGACAGTTGAGTTGTTGATTATTTGAATGCTTCATTACATTGATTTCAGTTGCATGTATTCACTAGTGAATATTTGGAGGGGTTTAAATGGAAAGAAATAAAAGCTTTTTGTTGTTGGGTCAATTTCCAGTTGCTTGTTATATGACTAAATGAAATGCACTTTTATGGCAAATTGAGCTTGTGACTTCTAGCCCTTTCAAGGACCATCTCATACCAGCCATTATAACTAGCTTGTGTTGCTTTACATAGGTAGCTATTTGATGCTCATTTCTGTCTTCCATATGAAAGAAGTTTGGAGATGTAACAACATTTATTGCGAGATTTAGATTCTACTTGATCATCCCCTGTTCATCCTGATGTTACGGATGCAATCTTTTATTATTATAAATTGTGGGAACGGGTGTGGCAAAACTCTGACATCCATGCTTGATACATCTATGGTAGGAAAAATTGTATTTGCGGCTCCCTCTCGACCACTTGTATTGCAACAGATTGAAGCATGCCACAATATTGTAGGAATACCACAAGTACGACCCTGATTTTGTTAACTGTATGGTCCTTTTCTAGCCTGGTTTAGGATTGCAATTTCCCAAATTGTTGATATCGTATTGAAATGATTTAAACTGATTGCAGGAATGGACTATTGATCTTACAGGTCAAACCAGTCCAACAAAAAGGGCACACTATTGGAAAACGAAAAGAGTGTTTTTTGTAACTCCGCAAGTACTTGAGAAAGATATCTATTCTGGTGCGTACTCTAGTTCACGTATGCTGTTGGAGTCTGACTTTCTTTCATCTACAAAAATGTCATACTAATGCTCATAGATAGTGCTTCGCAATGTTGTCAATCTTATTTATCATTAAAATGTTACTTACGATGTATTTCATTTTCATGACTTGTTTTTTTTTTTGAAAAATTGTGTCAAATTCACTGATTGATTTTTTTGTTTAAGTTGAGATTGTTAATAGATCTCAAGAAAAGAGACATCTCTTCTAAGGGAACTGAATTCTGGGGATTCATGCTTTAACTTTTATTAATGAATATAAAGAATAATAACTATATGAAAGTTAAGAATGGTCTTACTTGGATGGTTTATGGTAACTCTGTACTGCTATATATCTTCTTAAATTCTGATTGACATGCTATGTTGGAATTTGATTTGGAGGTAAAGGCGTCGCTTCGTATTTGACAAAGAGTAGATTGTCTTGGAATAACATGTGCAAATTTTCAGCATTAAAGTAAACAAAACTGCATTAAGAGTTTCCAAGGCAGTTGGAGATTGGTATTAGCTTTAGTTTCTTTCTTCTGTTCTCTCTATTGTGCATGTCTTCTCCCTGTTATTGAAGAGAGTCTATTTTGGCCTCCGTGCTCTTTCTTCTTGTCTGTTATATTGAGCCATTTATATGCTTCACCTTGGAATGGACAGAGTGATTGACACCTCTTATCTTGGATCTGCTTGTATCTGCGTTGTAAACTGCTTTCGTTTATCTAAACTTTGCAAGGTTTAAAAAAATTGGTAATCCACATCTTTGGTTATCATACAAAGGAACTACATGTTGCAGGTTCATGTTTGGTGAATTATCTAGTTTGTTTGGTGATCGATGAGGCCCATCGAGCTACAGGAAATTATTCCTACTGCGTAGCAGTTCGTGAGGTTCGTCCCTTTTTTTTTTTTTTACCTTCATTCTACATTAGCATTATTGTAACCTCTAGAATGTGAGATATCTATTTCATTCATTAAAGTGATTCTATCATCTATTGAGCGTTGCTCAGGACATCAGAACTAGGCCACAATCTGTTCAGGACTTCTGTTGTTAAGCTTTATACATTTTCTGATTGATTGACTTTGATTAATCACCCCTTTGTAAAAGTAATCAGTAGGAAGAATTCCATGCTCTATATTCTCCTATAAGAGAAATTCGAAAACCTAAGTTGGTATTACTTTGAGACCGTAAAGGGAATGTAGATCTTCCCCCGAAACATTGGAGTCTGGATACTTTTGAAGTATGTGAAGATATAAAGTGATATGATATTGAGACATATAGTTTGGTGGACAGAATGCGTCTAGCAGTTTTAAAATATAAATATATTTTGAATGTCTATAGTCGGGTTCGAAGACCTTGAATTACTTCGAAACCGTTTCTTTTTTAATTGATAAAGATTTCTTCTGTTAACAGACATACTATTGGAGTTTAAATTTCTCTGTCTTCTACTCAGACTTATCTGCATTATACAACTCTTAAGTTTCTGTGGTGACCTGGAATAAGTAGGAAGGAATTGAATCCACTAAAATTTCAGCAAAAATTAAGATGACAAGAAAAGAGAAAATGCAGAAAAGATTTGAAACTGTGGAGGATTTGAGAGGATTTTGTTATCAAGCAATCAATCAATGTCTACAAGCCACAACTAACTTGCTTACAATATCTACACTGAACACACACTATCAAAACAACATCCAATGGGAGGAATTCCTACAGAATCCCCTCACTGACTCCAGGTGCAGCTTGTGCTTGAACATGGCCGAGTCAGCAAGTGGTGAAGCTCAAATACTGAACTAAAATTTGTTACCCCTTCACTTTTTATCATTTATCGTATGCTTCTATCTCGACACCTCCTGCATACTAAGTGTAGTTTCACTCATTCACCTCTTTCTTTGGCCAAAGTAACTGAACACCTCCCCGAGTATGTTTTGTTCCTTGGAAAATTATACAACATGCTTATTTCCTTCTATTCTCCTTGGATGCGTTAACTTTGTCAAAAATGATTTGTAGCTTGTTAACTCTGATTGTCTCACTCTATAGAACTACTAAAATCTAATATATTTAATGATGTTGCAGCTGATGGCTGTACCTGTGGAACTCAGGATATTAGCGTTGACTGCGACACCAGGATGTAAGTGAATTTCTGTCTCATAATTATGATCTGACACTTTTGTTTTTGCTAAAGTTTTCATTGTACCTGGCTGACCATGTTGCTCTAAAACTTGCTGCAAATTAGCTAAACAGCAGACAGTCCAGCATATAATCAATAACCTTCAGATATCTGCACTTGAATACCGGAGTGAAAGTGATCCTGATGTGATACCTTATGTGCATGACAGAAAAATAGAACTAATTGAGGTAAAACAAAAGTGTCTGTATAGTATACCAGTTTATGCATGACAGTATAAGATAATGCTACTCTAAACTTTTTAGGTTGCTATGGGCAATGATGCTGCCGAGGTAAATAATTTGATCTTGGATGTGATCCGACCATATATTGCTCGACTTGGTGCAATTGGTGTGCTTCCAAGTAGAGATTTTCAGACGGTAATTTTCCTTTGACTCTGTTTCTTTCTTTTTATTCTGGGAGCTAGTCTTATTCTTTAAAGTTTTCCTCTTGCTACACAAATAAGTGTTCTGTCTTTACAATGCCTGACTGAAACTGCAGGATGCGAAGTCTTTACTGATTCTTTGTATTTAATAGATATTCAGCTTCTCCTGCAACATCTAGAGTGGCCAATCGCTTTTGTTTGTTGAGAACTTTTCTTTGACCTTCAGATGCTTATCAAACAATCCAACTTGAATGAATGCCCACTTCATGACAGAGAGTTTCTAGTCTATATTCACAACTTTGAATCATATTTCAGCTTATAGTAACTCTATAGGGCAATTCTGATGACCTTGAAATGAGTATCCCATTATGGCTTCTTTTAATTTTGTTTAACCGACAACATGTAGTTTCACCATCACCAAGAAAGCAGTACTGTCTTTTCATTGTAACTTTCTTGTGATTCTTAGGCTGAACCTCTTCATTGATGATTTCTTTTTTCCATTTTGCCGGTCAGCTTTTCACTGATTGTGTTGATCGGATAGTTTTGCTCTTATTTAGGAAGTGATTTGCAATATAATGCTTCTTGTTGCTAATTGACAGCTGAGTCCATGTGATTTACTCAACTCAAGGGACAAGTTTCGGCAAGCTCCTCCACAAAATTTGCCGCAGACTAATTATGGGGAAGTTGAAGGTTACTTTGGGGTTCTCATAACTCTTTACCACATCAGGAAATTACTTTCCAGTCATGGAATAAAGCCTGCATTTGAGATGCTTCAAGAAAAGCTGCAACAGGGGTATGTGACATGCTTAATAGTTCTCGCTCTCAATTTGGAAGGATAATTATTGTATGAGGTATTCTGTTTAGTCCATAAGTAGTGTAGTCCCTTTTATTTTGGTTTATTTATAACTATAAACTGATATGTATAAAATCCACTGGGTTGGATGTCATTTGCCATCATTTTAGGGTAGCCTTTGCCTCGAGTTTTAATATTGTAGATTACATAAAGAGTAATGGCTCCAGATTGAAGATCTAGTTTATGCTCCGTAGTGTCAAAGTTGATGCTAAAACTGAACATGTTTCTCAAGCTCTCTTTTCAAGCTAATCAAGTGAATAATTTTTCTTTTCTGTAAGCTTTTTATTCTTGTAGCTGACTTATTAGGTACAAACATCTGCAGGTCCTTCGCACGTCTGATGAGTAGAAACGAAATTCTATTGAAAGCAAAACTGGTTATGCAGCAAAACATCTCTCACGGTGCTCCCAGTCCGAAATTGTCAAAGATGCTGGAAGTGTTGAGTGACCATTTCAGTACGTGATGTGAAATTGCTAACATATGACTATCACAATACTGTCTCGTAGTATCATATGTTAAGCTTTCTTCACTTAATAAAAGTCAAAATGATTATTCTATGCTTTGGATTCAGATTTCCTCTTTCCCATTATGTTAAAGGATAGAACTACACCTTCATCCGTTAATCTAACTATCCAATGACATAAGTTTAAAACCTGAACTCTCTAACTAATGATTGGTTTTATTGGTTTTCCTCTTATGACCTTTGAAAAGTTGCTCTTTCCTAAGACAACTATGCTTTTCAAGAATAATTTTGATAGCCCTAAAGACTTTGAATTTAAGTACTTCTTTGGATAGTTGTACTACAGCTTTCTGGATCTTCATTTTTTTTCCCCCTTCTTTTTTTTTTTTTTTTTTCTTTTCCCTTTTTTGGCTTAAGTAGAGAGAGTGATGTAAGTTTCCTGTGTCATTTATAATTGTGACTGGTTTCCTTGGCAATAAAATTGAGAACTTCTGGAGAAATTTTGAACCATTTGACTTGCTTTGTTACGCAACGAATGAGGTTTCTTATGTGCCTTTGTTCCCTTAAAGACCTTGTTATCACCGCCTCCTCTGGTTGGGCATTTGTAATAATCTTGTATGCTTTAGAGTACATCTGTTCCATACTCATACCTAACAAGTTCTTAAACTGCTTCCTGTGCCTAGGAGTATTAAGCTGTAGTATTAGGAGCTCATAAGTCTCCTTCTGGCCTCACCTGAGGTCTTTTTTGTGAGCTGTCTGTAGTTGTGTTAACTTGATTGATGCATAAAAAATGCTAAGTTCACTGCTTGGATTTTTTGTACATCACGTTAAAAGGAAGAAATAATTACAGTGTTGGCTTGATCATTTGTCAGCTTATTTTCTTGCAGAAACGAAAAGTCCAGTTAGTTCAAGGGTCATTATTTTCTCCAATTTCAGAGGAAGTGTCAGGTTAGATGAATAGACAGTGAAGTCAATTGACCTTCTTTGCAGTTGAACATAAAGAGTGGCTCGTTCCTTTGATTATGAACTTCCATTGTTATATTCATATCGTGACTGTCAATCTGTCATTGCAGGGATATAATGATCGCACTGAAAAACATAGAATTTGTCAAAGCTACCGAGTTTATAGGTCAAAGCTCAGGTGTACATCTTTATCCCTTTTACAATCAGTTTGTCATATATCCAGCAATACATGCTTCTGTTTCTTTGGTCTGTTTGGTTTGGGTTTATGAGAATGCTATCATCTCAAATGTTTCCTGAGCCTCCCTCTTTTCCTTTAGTCATTCTTTGTAGCCTTGCTTTCTTTTAATGTTTCACATTCTGGTTGGCGTTTCTTTATCTCATCAATGTTCCCAAAACCAATACTAAATGGTCAGCTTAATTCAATAAGCCTTTCTTTAAAAATGTGTTGCTATATACAAACATGCATGTATAAACGTGTGCATGCACGTATGCTGGCGCCTGTGAGTCCATGTCATGTGGGTGGATGTGATTGTGCATATGTGTTTATTTCTGCGTGCATGTGTCCATGGTGAGGATTTGTGTTACTTTCGGATGCCCTAATTTTGATACCTTTCTACTAGTGTGTATTCATAAGCACATTAGTGTTTGGCATTGGTTTGCTGATATGTCACTTCACTGTTAGAAATGTCATCTTAGAGTCTTAGACTAACAAAACCCATGGTGCATTGACTAAGTTGACTAGAAAGATAGTAACTTTGTCCTTCATAAAAGTACTGTGAAAATGAACTTTACTATACCATGTAGCTTGTAAACTTTGGAGTATTATGTATTTAGTCCATTTTTCAGAACTTGGATGTTGGCTTATTTTCAATATTTATAGTATAGTGGTTGTTCTCGCAGGGAAAACATCAAAGGGTCAGTCACAGAAAATGCAACAGGCAGTTTTGGAGGTTGGTACACTGGCTTGTTCTCTCTCTCTCTCTCTCTCTCTCTCTCTCTCTCTCTCTCTCTCTCTTTTCTAATTAGAAACTTCTCAGTTGTTACATTATAAATGATTTGTTGTCTTGCTTTACATTTAGAAATTTCGAGCTGGTGGATACAATGTGATTGTTGCGACCTCCATCGGGGAAGAAGGTTTGGATATCATGGAAGTTGATCTAGTCATTTGTTTTGATGCTAATGTCTCACCCTTGAGAATGATCCAGCGGATGGGGAGGACTGGAAGGAAACATGAAGGAAGAGTGGATATCCTTGTTTCATCTACTTTGTGGAATTTCTTTGTTTTCGAATGAATGTGTATATCCTGTTTGTTGTGCATTATTTGACCTGATTTGATGTTCAAGGTGAAAAATGATGATTATCTATGGTAGTATTCTGTGGGGAAAAGTACATAAATTATCAATCAAAAGTAAAATAAGTATCATCTGCAGTCTAACTAGTTAGTTTTTAGAAACTATTTTGAAAAGGCTTTAGGGAGGATGACAATTGTTTGTACTCCAGAATTGCATATTTTCTTCATGTACATACCAGTGTTATCTTGTTTTGGCTTATTCGGTGGAAAAAATGGATAACAATATCAATAATTTGTGATTGTATGCCACTTTCCTTGACAAGCCTGACTTGTTCTAGCTTGTGAGGGTTCCGAGTTGAGGGGTTACATGCGCAAGCAAGCCAATAGCAAGGCTATTAGGAAGCACATGCAAAATGGGGGAACAAAGAGTTTTCAATTTCATTCAAGTCCAAGAATGGTATGTTTTGATTGCAAACTTTTTTTATTGTTTAGTTACCATTTCAGCTTAACTTTTGATTATGTACTCCCCTATCTGCAGATTCCTCATATTCTAAAACCAGAAGTTCAATTTGTTGAACTTTGTATTGAGCAGTATGTTCCCCGTGCAAAAAAGATCAATGATGATGATTCTGTTATTGATTCGTCCACATATAAGACTAAGTTAACCAATGCTGAGAAGGAGTTGATTGCTAAATATTTTTGCCCTTCCAGTAAGAATACCTGGATACCATCACTTATTGCTTTTCCTCATTTCCAAGCTTTTCCTTCAAGAGTGGGGAAGGTGGTGCATTCACATAGGACAGGGATGCTAATAGATGCAATGCAATGTTTGCAAGGATTATCATTTTCAGGAGACACTAAATCTTTTCTTTTTGAGGTCAGTCTTGGATGTTTTTGTTTTACAGTCTGTTATTTATCTCTACTTAAATACTTTATGTTTGTTGTTCAGGATAGGACCTCTCCTGAACCGTCAGCAGTTCCCGAAGCTGTTGAACAGTGTCATGAAACAACAATCGGTAATGTTTGATTAGATGCTTAAGGGCCTTTCTTAGTTTCTCTGATTTTCTTTATTTTACCCTGGGAAACCTAAAGCATCCTCTTATATCTGCTCTACTTGAAAAAACATGCTTATTCGGCTGTAAACTTTCAAACTTTCTTACAACCCTTAGCAAACTGCCGTGAGCAGGTGCTACAAAAACAACAGATCCTTTCTTCTCCATGTAAGAAAGACAGCCTTGCAACATTGTCTACGTTTCTAATATTAGAGAAAAAGATTTAAATCTATCTTTTGTTGTTATTCCAAAAGAACCAACCTTAGTTTCAAATTTTAACTGCATCCATACACGCTCTATGGCTATTCCATGCAAAAGAAATGATTTTTTTCCCTTGTCTTGGATCTTATTTTTCAGAATTGACGAGCCCTATCAATTTTCATGAAGCGGATAGGGAAGAAGTTCTGGGTGCTGAGATTAAAGCAATAGGAAATATAAGTACTGAAGGGGAGCCTTTTTTGCAAGATTCTCAACAAAAAACTCTGACCCATTGCTTCCTCTTCAACTCTGAATTTGTAGCTTTAGATGATCTTGGAAGAGTTATGGTTTTATCCTTGCCAGAATTTCCTTTAAGAGAAGTTCCTATTCTTAAGTTGGCTGATAGCACAACAGTGCCACATCATCGTAAAGAAGCTTCTGTAAATTTTGACCCTTCAAGTTCAACACATCTACGGGGAGAAAAGTATGACCTAGTCGAAGGTATGACTGCTTCGACCTCCCAAATGAGATCCCAAGAAGACGATAACGATCGTAGATGTAACGTAAACAACATTTGTCATGCATCTCAAGAACGAACATTAGTCCTTCAAAATCTTCAGACTTCTAGTTCCAAGCAAAATCCAAATGTTGGGGAGAACATTTGCAGCAGTCCCCAAACACCCCCACCGATTGATGAGGGCAATAATGACTCAGGAGAGTTTGAGCTTAGTCCCAGGCTCACTAACTTTCTGGAGAGTGGTGTTGTTCCAGAATCTCCTATCATTAACAGTGGTATCTATCTACTATTCCAATCTTGCTATTTGAACGTGTATTCAAAATAGTTTTCTATGCCCTAAATTTGTTATCATTTTCTCATTAGGAAGGCCTTCTATCAAAGATGATGGATGTGAGGTTTCAGATCTTGTTTCCAATGGAATGGATTTTGAGTTGGTAGAGAAGTTCCAAGAGCAGGGTGAAGAGGTTGTTCATGGCATACATGGTGATGAAATGAATGTTCAGTCTCCCTTGATAACTGAAATTCAATTTCCTGCCACAAATGTGAATGAAGTAATCCCGGCACTCAAGTCCACTTCTCCAACTGCTGTAGAAACTCGATCTCCATTCATCAATGTTCAGTCTCCCTTGATTGATGAAATTCAAGTTCCTGCCGCAAATGTGAATGAAGTAGTCCCAGCGTTCAACTCCGCCTCTCCAACTGCTAAAGACTCTCGATCTCCTTTGATAAATCTGGTAGACACTAGCTGTAGTGAAGACTGGCTATTAAATTCTGGAGACAGGTCAAAATGTGTGGAAGAGAAACCCAAGCTTAAAAGACTGCGCAAACTTGGAGAGTTGTCTAAAAATGGATCTGATGACTTGAAAGGAAAGACAAATGGACTCTCCCAAAACTTAAGTAGTCATCGTGCTGCAGATCATCTTAGAAATCATCATGAGAGAGGTACTTTCATCTGTTCATTTCGTTGCTTTCATCAATGCCTCATTATCATCGATATTCATCTATTGCAGATTCCTTGATCTTGAAGCACTTTGGTTAACCAACCACTTGACCAACCTTTTCTTTTAAGTAATCGTCTACCAAATTTCACAGCTTATGCTATTGCATGCAGGTAAACGACGAAAAGTAGATGATGCCAAGCTCTTTGTTGAAGAAGAAGCAGAGTAAGTACTAGTTTGAACAAATGCACATATTTTGGTCTAGCTATGATATGAAAATTGGAAGACTGTCTGTCCCAGATTTAGAATACACATGCAAACCACAGATTTCTACCTTGTACAGTAGTTTCTTATCCAAGAACTATAGACCCAGCTAACTTTTGGTGATTGAAGAGTGATTGATTCTCTGCAATCACATATCAAGTTGTCACAAGTTTTTAATCGTATCAACTTAAGTAGAAAGCCCCTGATATAGTTTAATCACTGTTGTTTGTTCCCTGCCCTCCAACCCACAAGCTGCCTTGGGCCAACCTCATTTTTTGTGGAAGCAGTTATATTTCTACATTTTAAGCTTCCGAAATTTTAAATTTTTTAGTCACTGATGTGTAATCTTGTCACCCACTTTATACTGTTTGGTCCTTTAGTACTGCTGCATAGTGGTGGATCTCTCAGAGAGGCTACTTTACCTATTTAATGTCATTTGCAGGGTGTCTTCAGATGTTGGGGTATCTGCTGATGAGGAAGATGAGCTGGATAATAATTCATTTGATGACAGTTTCATCGATGATAGACTAAATCCTACAGCAACAAGTACTCAAGCTGAAGAGGGTGCAGTTGATATGATGGCGGTTTACAGGTTTCTAAGCTGTACCTTAAGTTTCTGTGGCATGGTTCTTCTGGTGTGATTTGCTCTGATATATACTACGACCATTTTGTTCCAAATAATATTTGTTAAATGGTTTTTAGTTAAATTGCGTTTCTTAGAGGAGCAGCGAGACTTACCTAACACTGCTCAATTGAAGGAGAGGATTCCTTGGCATACCTCGTGAATATAATTTTTGAAACTCGGGATTGACTTGAAAACTATGCTACTTGACCATGATGATTGAGCTTTACATGCATATTCAGAGAAATGGATTTCATAACTGAGTTCCAGAGATTATAACTGCTTGAAGATTGCAGTGTATCAGTAACGATTTGAATAAAAATATCACTTAACCTTTATCTTTGCTGTGATTTCTCCCTGGTTAGCTTCTAATTTCTATCCTCCTAATGCATGCAAAAGGCCGTACCTGATATCTGAATTCTGAACTTAATTGACTTTAATGCTCTATCTGCGGTTCCCCTGTAGTAAACAACCAGGATTATCATCATACAGAGGTTCATTTACGACGTTGATATTTTGTATTCTGTTGCTTAGCAAATAGAAATTTGCGGAGCGTAATTTACCAAGTAAAACTTTTTTGTGCTTTGTACTGATTGATATTTTTCACTATTCTAATTCATTTTGTTTAATCATAGAAAACTCTTCAATTCTCATAACTTTTGAATTTATTTTGGACAATGAACTTTTTGCGGCTCATTGTTGGTTTATTGAAACTATTCATCCACTTGACGCAGACGTTCTTTGCTCAGTCAATCACCATCCCAGATAATGCCAAACAGTGGTGCAGATACTACCCCCTGTTCTGAGGTTCGAACAAATGAAAGCACAAGTACATCAGGAACAGAAAGTCATCTGCTACAAAAGTCCTGTAGCGTCTTCGGATCCACCACAAGGCCGAATCGCAAACAGGATTGCTCAGATCGAGCACCATCCGGTACAACTGGCGTTCCAGAAGATTATGGAAGCAAGACAGAAAGTAGTAAAAAGCGTAAATTTTTTCAACCTGGTTCTTTCCCTGTTCATAATTTAGAACAGGAATTCTCTGTTCAGTCCATGCATTTAGGAGAAGACTCTATCCGAGAAGTCAACAAATTCCCTGAAGACGGGGATATATTTGACGATGACCAATTTTTCGATGCTATTGATCTAGATGCAATAGAGGAGGAAGCTACAAAACTCCTGAAACAGAGGACAGAGTGTTCAACACAGAAACATGTGGCCCTAAACAATGCCATGGGAGATTCGCCTTCATTTGACCTGGGAATTTGACTTTGTTGAAGATTTTAGGCAAGATAGTAGTTGACATTGTATACAATGGTGTCGAATCGATTGTATTTATGAGGTAGGAAGGCACAATCAGTTCAGTTAGGAATGTAAATATTATAGTAGTGCATTTTTTCCCCTTCGACCTTGTTTAGTGTGTGTAAGCTGTACATTAGTAAATAACTAAATATTGCTACCGGGTCTTGCAGATTCTTTGGAAGGGTAATGGGATCTTTGTTTACTTTGTATTTGTACAGATATTCAACCTGTATTAATTATATCTATCATTTGTTTGTTGATCTTCTTTTAACTACATAAGTTTAATCTAGTTTAGATTGTTGAGCCGTATGTATGTAAGATATAGTTACTAATCGATCTAATGCGTATTTTCTTCCATTTCGAAATTATTAATTAGTTTGGATTTTCATTTTTAGTTCAACTGGACGGATTATGTTTACTTTGCTCAAAAGAGTACATCACAGAAAGTTGTAGAGACTGAAAAAAGACATGAAGGTCAAACTGTAAACAAACACATTCAAATACTTCTATAGATTGAGGAAGCAATATTGTACACAACCCTATTAAAACAAAACAAGAGATGGAGGATCGATGTGTTATCCGACTTAGGTGGTGTCACCATCCAAAATACATATACTACTACAGTACTACTCTTTAAGCCTCCCAAAAAACGTAACCAGTCCACTTTAATGAATTAAAAACAGAGCGACAAGACGTAATCATGCGTGCATGTTACCATTGATATTGACAGGTCTTCTCAGAAGAGAACCAGGTTGCATATTGACAGAGGAAAGGTTTGCCGAAGAGGGGCGGACAGCAGTCGCCGTTGTCGGTGCAAACGGTGCCTCTTGAAGCACAACATCTTCCTTCTTGACAGCTTGGAGGACCAGTGGTTCCTGAGTCAACGCCAACTGGGTTAACACAGCAGTCATAGTCATTCTTACATGGGTTCCCAACTTGCATACAACATCGGCCAAATCACACAGGTTGCACTCCCGTCGCAACACGGATTATTGTCGCCACATAAGTTGTTCGGGTCTAATTCCCCGGTTGGAACGCAGCTGCCATCATCTGATACCACCGTATCTGCAACAATAATCAAGTGTGGAATTGATCAATAATGAATTACCGTTCGTCTCAGAAAAATAGTGCACGTTGAATTTTCAAATTTTGTATTAAAAAATTAATACAAATCTCAAAAATTTAATGTAGGCTATTTTTATTTTATTTTTTTTGGATGAAAAGACTAGTAAATAACTAATAAAACAAACGTGATGGGTCCAGAGATTTAAATTAATTACCAAATATGGGGATGATGAGAAACAACACGATCGCGAGAGAACTTGCTAGGGTTGTGGCAGCAGAGAACTTCATCACACTAGCTAATTCGTCGTATCTGTTCAGGTATTATTTTGAATATGAACAAAAGAAGATCAACAAAATGATTGAGTGAAGTTGAATCCGTCCATTTATATAAATGGTTAGGATGCAGTTATTCATGTCTACTTGAATAATTTAATTGTTTTTTGTACTTCTTTTCCCTTAAGATACAATAGGGGAAACAAATTAACAAAGAGGCTGTGGCGGCAGTAGTGAATTTTGCAAACTAATACTCCCCGTCCCAGGAAAAAAAAAAAAACTGTTTTGTATTAGTTTAGTACAATGTTAAGAATTTGATGAGGACTATTTAACTTTAAACTATAATTAATTTTGAAAACTAATTCTAGAAATGGACAACTGAGTATTCATAAAAATAGGATAGAGGGAGTATTATATTATAGTGACGAGAGTGAAATATGACAATTTTTCAAGGCACGCAACACACGACCTTAAAAAAAATTGTTGCTGTACCGTCGGTGATGCATTGAATTTCAGAAATTAATTAATTAACGGCCAAGTCACAATCTAGTAGTTGAACAATGAACATCCCTATCGAATATGATGACTTCATTATAACACCATCTTGAAAACGAATTTCCAATAATTATTTTTCCATGTATCAATTAGTTCGAAAGTTCGAACTCTACTATGACTAAAAGATGACACCATTCTTATTGTCTGCTTAGTTACTTGAACAACCATTTCATTTTTATTGAAATGAATATTCGAATGGTTTGCGGGCATTGTAAATTTTGAGCTACCATTTCTTAGCACTCTTATTATTAGTCTTTATAAAGATATCTGTTATAAGTTAAAATTAATTCTCGTTTTCGAATTCAAATATAAAAGTTTACATGAACATATATGCAATGTCATGTTTTCATCTCTCTAAGAACTTTGATGAAATGTGAACTGATAAGATGATAAGAAGAGTTTGACGTAAACTCATATTGTATTCACCAAAGCCAATTCGATATGTCTGGTTATTTTCGTCAGTATGGTATTGTGCATGAAATTTCTTGTGTTGGCACTCCGCAGCAGAAAAGACGTGTTGAATGCAAGTATAGGCATATTCTCAATGTGGCACGTGCTTTGATGTTTCAAGCTAGTCTTCCGCTTGAATTTTGGGGTCATTGTGTTTCTGCAGCTGTTCATTTGATCAATCGCATTCCTTCCTCTGTTTTGAATGGAAAATCACCTCTTCAATGGTTGTATGGTAAAATTCCCTCTCTGCAACATCTTTGAGTATTTGGTTATCTTTGTTATGCACATAATCAAGGCAGGGGGTGATAAATTTCTTTCTCGAAGTCGAAAATGTGTCTTTGTGGGATATCATGTTGGTAAAAGGGGGTGGTTGGTTTATGATCTTGATACTCAACAATTTCTGGTTTCCAAGGATGTGGTTTTCTGTGAAATTGAATTTACTTATGCTTCTGTTTCCTCGGCTTCTATGGATTCCTTACTTTCTGTTGATACACAATTGCCTATTTTTCCTGATGATCGTGATGATCCTATTTCTGTTACTCCTACTCTGGTTTTTGTGGTTCCTCCCTCATCTAAGGTTTCCATTAATCCTACTCCTGAACCTAATGCTACTCCGCCTCTTACTCCACCTGCTACTGAAACTGCTACTTCTCCTGAGGTATCTTTCGATTCAGCAGCATCTTCACCAGCTCCTTCTGAACTCCTGGGTCGTGGCATATGCACTAAGTTTCCAACACTCAGGCTTCTGGATTATGCTAAACACACTGTCAGTCTCCCACCCGCCACTTTTGCTCCCCATGCTTCATCCTCATCCTCAGGTACTTCTTATTTTATAATACATTTTTAAACTGTGCTTCTTTTTTACCTCGTCATCGGGCTTTCTTGGCAGCTATAACTACAGGTGTTGAGTCTCGTACCTTTCAGGAAGCAATGCAGGATGCTTGATGGCGTTCTGCTATGCATGCTGAAATCCATGCTTTGGAGAACAATCATACTTGGGACGTTATCTCTCTTCCTCCTGGTAAACAAGCTATTGGTTGTAAGTAGATTTTTAAAATCAAATATCGTGCGATGGTTCTGTTGAGCGGCATAAAGCTCGTTTGGTTATTCTTGGCAACAATCAGGTTGAAGGCATTGACTTCACCGAGACTTTTGCCCCTGTTGTCAAAATGGTCACGGTTCGTACTTTTCTAGTAGTTGCTACTGCCAAACATTGGGAGTTGCATCAAATGGATGTTCACAATGCTTTCCTGCATGGTGATCTTCATGAAGAGGTGTATATGAAGCTTCCCCCCGGTTTTCGTTCTGGTAGTTCTAATCAGGTCTATGGGCTTCGGCGGTCTCTGTATGGTCTTAAGCAAGCCCCTCATTGTTGGTTTACTAAGTTGGCCAGTGCTTTGAAACTCTATGGTTTCACACAGTCTTCCGCTGATTACTCTCTATTCACATTTCATCGTGGTACAGTAGTCTTAGCATTTTGGTATATGTGGACGCTCTTGTTATTGGTGGGAATGACTCTACTGCTATTTCTGCCTTCAAATCCTATCTGAGCCGTTGCTTTCACATAAAAGATCTTGGCCCTCTTAAGTATTTCCTTGGTCTTGAGGTTGCCCGAAATCCCTCAGGCATCTTTCTCTGTCAAAGGAAATATACCCTGGATATTCTCTCCGAGGTTAGTTTGTTGCGTGGCAAGCCGGCTTCCTTTCCTACGGAACAAAATCATTATCTTCAGTTGGATGACGGTCCTTTTTTCTCTGATCAAGAGCGTTATCGCCGCTTGATTGGTCGGTTGATATACTTGGCTGTCACTCGTCCGAATCTTTCATACTCTGTTCATATCTTGGCTCAGTTTATGCATATTCCTCGCCAGGCTCATTGGGAAGCTGCCCTTCGTATTGTTTGTTACTTGAAGACTAATCCCGATCAAGGGATCCTTCTTCGTGCTGACAGTGATCTTCAGTTGTATGGCTGGTGTGATTCTGACTGGGCCGGTTGCCCTCTTTCTCGCCGGTTGCTTACTGGGTGGCTTGTTACTCTTGGTCATTCCTCCATTTCTTGGCGCACCAAGAAGCAGCAGGTTGTGTCTCGCTCATCTGCCGAGACTGAATATCGGGCTATGGCCTCTACTGTTTGCGAGTTGAAGTGATTGAAGGCTTTACTTCTTAGTCTTGGTGTTCGTCACTCTTCGCCCATGCGTCTCTATTGTCACAGTCAGTTTGCTCTTCATCTGGTGGCCAATCCTATTTTTTATGAACGTACCAAGCACATTGAAGTAGATTGTCATTTTCTCCATGATGCTTTTCTTCAATGGCTTATTTCTCCTTCTTATGTCTCTACTCATCATCATTTGGCTGACGTCTTTACGAAGGCTCTGGGACACCGATAGTTTGTTTCTTTTCTATCCAAATTGGACATTTGCAATCCGCATACTCCAACTTGAGGGGGGTAATAACATGTATATATGTATATAACCGGAAAGGTTAGTTTAGACATTTTATGTTGAACCCTAACACTTAAAGTTTCCTCTTGTATTTGTATATATAAGACATAAATTTGGAACCATTATCACTACCATAGTTTTAACCAACTTGTCAAATTGCCGTTGAACCATAGCAAAGAAATCA